GAGTAGCCTAAATGTAAGGTTGCTTGCTTCGATAGATCTGCACATGCTGCCATACCAACACAACAAGAGGACTGCCTGGTAGGGGACCTTCATCATAGCAGGTTGTCTTACCCTCAGGTAAGCTCGTTATGCATTGTATAGAATTATCGAAAATTGCAACGGTGGAAGCGGCCTGGATTTGAACTGCGTCATATGAGCATGGCTCAATAGAGGAACCGTTTCTCACGTGCAAAGAACAGGGAATACGGTAGCCTCTTTCCCTTGACCCATACAGCCAGCTGCAGGAAAATCTACAGAAATCCCCGTGCCTGGTATTTGATAGATACTTGACTGGCTTCTGCCAGTATTTCTGTGGCTGGCTTATTTGATTGACTAAAATTGGATAACAAATGGATTCGCTTTCAGGTGAGTTGTGACCCGCCTCGCCCACCAAGGCGTCAGATTGATGCCTGGCGACACAAACCCACCCGACAAAAGGGAACATTGGAACTATTTCAACATAAGGTGGGTATGTGCCAAGCAGTATCCACACCTTTTGCCGATTCCAAATAGCTGGTGTCAGGATAAAACAAATATCCAAGAGCTGAATGACACAAACAAAGAAATAGCCTTAGAACAAGAGTAGTTGATCTTTTGGCACCGACCGTGCTGCACAGGCTTATGCTTCGCTTGATTAAAATAATGTAAACCTGTCAGCCAGCCTTGGAACACTTTCGTATCACTCGCGCCTGAAATTAGCGGTGAATATTCATAACCCATACCCGCAGGCGTGCGGGAGTGACTTATCGTGACATGCAAAAACGATTTCAGGGGCGCCACTGCTTTTGCGCATGAGCAAGATCTACATGATACCTTCAAACATTCAAGTGTTTTGCCCGATCAGTCAAGTCTGAGAGATGAGCTTGGATGTCTGCAGCGTAATTTTGAATGTGGGTGGCGCCACCTGCCATAAAATCAATCAAGCGTTCAGAGATGTATAAGCAGGCAACACTTCAGGTGAATAAGTCCAACCAATGCAGAGAAATGAAACGGTTTGTCTGCCACTAAAAGTGTCTTCTCAAAAAGGCGCATGTTCAGGATCTCAGGAGGTGAGTGACCCCATCAGGCGCACGACATGTTCCGAATCGAGCTGCTGCGCCGTATGACGAATAACCCTCCGCGGTTCGACTCCCACGCTTACCTCGATTGTGTTAAGCCTCCTGGATACATAGAGAACGCTAGAGTATGTCCAGTGATTTATTTCTTTTAAAACCAACAGGGGAAAATTAAACAACATATTCTGAAACTCAAATGGAAGCCCAGCGGTTTCAACGGGCCTCCCAAACGGAGACAGTCAACACATCCCCAACATGACCATGGGACCGTAGGTTATCACTCACTTGCGTAGAGTGGCCACACCAAGTCCCGACTTGTTGCTCGCAACATGACAGCCGTCCAAAATTGCTCAGAACATAGGGAAGTAAGATTGCTTAATGTTGACCCCATGTCATTCAACCCCAGTTTATTGAGATCGGGGGTGTCCCTGGGTGAAACGTGGGCAATCAGTCCACTTTTGGAAAAAGAACACCCCATGAATAAACTGGGGTTGATTTATAGGGGGTCAACAGTACCACAAACATGTTATTCCCAAAAATCAAGTCCAAACAATGAGGAATAGAAATGAGGTCAAACGACCAAGGCACAGTGCAGCTGACCACTATCCACAAGCCAACTTGACAAATGCAGGAAACGCCCCCTCGGTTCCAGTGCCCAAAAAGGGATTTCTCTGAAGCCTAAACCAAACGCCCAAAACCAGCAAATAGCACAAAAGCCATTTAGCTGCTACTGGATCTGCTCACTGGGACACATACCGGGCCTCGCCATTCCCAACATGGCAGAAGCAATCGTATGAAGAAAAGGTTTGAAAAGCCCAACGCCAACCCGGGCAGGCACAGGAGATGCCGCAAATATTGCAGGGGAACAAGGACATCCTCGAATTTGCCCCGGAATCTTCTGGTTGAGTAATCATGGTTGGCTCGCGATATGGCGGGGGCCAAAAATTTAGCGGGAAGACTCAGAGCACAAACTGCCGCGAGGAGCTTGTGAAGCTTCAGCACGCTGACCACCTGGCATAATGGGTGGTCTGCGGGAGGAGGTTTAACAAATCAGAACAACCGCTCCCAAAATGGGGGAGTTCCTTTCGGTTCCTCTTGGTTCGGGCGGGCGAGTGAGTCAGTGAGTGAGGGAACGAGAGAGAAACCGAGTTGAGTGAGTGAGTGAGTGAGTGAGTGAGTGAGTGAGTGAGTGAGTGAGTGAGTGAGTGAGTGAGTGAGTGAGTGAGTGAGTGAGTGAGTGAGTGAGTGAGTGAGTGAGTGAGTGAGTGAGTGAGTGAGTGAGTGAGTGAGTGAGTTTGTGAGTTGAGTTCGTTTGGGTTGGGTTGGGTTGGGGTGGGGTGGGGTGGGGTGGGGCGGGCGAGTGAGGGAGCGAGCTAGTGACTGAGGGAGGGAGGGAGTGAGTGAGGTGCAAATTTTGCATGGGGAAACGGCTCCCAATCGCTTATGATTGTTCCTCTTTGAGGGACAATGGAAACAACATGTTTTGGGGGTTTCCGGCACAGAGTGGCATCCAAACGGGATAGAAACGCTGAATGTTGACCACGGGTTAAACCATGTGGATGAATAGACCAGTGCCCTTCTCCCCTTCTCCCCCGAGTGATCCAAAATCAACCATGGGTCTCATTAGACCCCCCTCACTAGACCAGCCCTTCGCGAGAGGCCTGGAAGGTTATGAAGCTGCAGTTCAAGCAACCCTTTTCACCAAGCAACCCTGCGGAAAATCGTCACACCTTAGGCCGGAAAAAGAAGGAACATGGTCTTGGAACAGTGCAAAAAGGATAGGCTCCATGCTGGAAGGGTAATCGTTGACCAACACTAGTGCAAAAGTGTTGCTCTTACACCATGGGATTCGGCGCCCTAAAAATATGCCTGGCCCAAACGAGGGTCTCATTTCCCAGGATTGCACCCTTCAAGGGCCCACCCCCTCAAAGTTCCTCAACCTAACGCCCAATAGGCGCTCGCCAAGTCATGCCACACGGGTCTCTGGTCGGTGTCTGTTTGTTTTATGTTATTTCTTCTTCTTCTTCCTTTTTTTTGGGGGAGAGTTCTTCGGTTGCAGTTTGCGTGATCCACGGGTTCAAACAAATGGGTCGGATGACGCACACATCACCAGCGACCGAAACCCGTGCATGACCTCAGAGCCCCCCACCGCCACTTCACCAGGCGGAGGCTGCGGGAAGAAGAGCACCTGTGCCAAAGCCGGGCATTCCCTCGCTTGGAACGGGCCGGATCCATCCCAAAGTTCACATTTTTTGTGGGGACCTGACAAAATGAGACCCTGAGACCCTGCCACTCAGAGACTCATCTAACATGGAACCTAACAAGAAGGGAAATGGTGTCCCCACAGGTTCTATGAGAGGTTGCCCAGCCCCTTTCGGTGAGGTTGCGGCGTGGCCTTTCTGGAGATTTGGGGGTTGCGGATGGTGTGGCTGGTGTGCTATGAGTTCAAGCCCTGGAAACCCAATACTATGGTTGGAACCAAGAGACAAGTATCCTCGGGCTTGGCTACCACGACATGGTCTCATGATGCCAGGGTCACCAAACGCCTGGAAAAGGTGTTTAGTTGCCCCTATGATAACGACACAATCTGGTTTCAAAGCACCTCCCAATCAAGATCCATGTTATTCTTCAACAAATAGTACGGTCGGGGGGTAAAGTAGCTTCTCCAACCCGCAAGCCACTTTGAGACTTTGAGAGGGGTGTCGCCCAATAACAAGCACGGGCCTATAATAGAAACGCTAAACATGTCCCCGAGATAGCGCCTGTCTGATTTTGGATCGAATTGTGCCCACAGAAATGCACTCTGAGCGTATGTCCAGAGACGGCAGCGTCACGAAGCCATGTTTCACATATTCACTTGTCCAACAAGTTGAGGCAGGCAGGCAGGCAGGCAGGCAGGCAGGCAGGCAGGCAGGCAGGCAGGCAGGCAGGCAGGCAGGCAGGCAGGCAGGCAGGCAGGCAGGCAGGCAGGCAGGCAGGCAGGCAGGCAGGCAGGCAGGCAGGCAAGCAAGCAAGCAAGCAAGCAAGCAAGCAAGCAAGCAAGCAAGCAAGCAAGCAAGCAAGCACACACACACACACACAGGAGAACTTGTATTGGTTTCCCAGTTGAGGAATTCTTACGGACCTCCATCCAAATCCCAAGTCCGGTGTTCCAAACCCCCCCAATCTGCCATCGGCGAGTTGAGAGGAACCTTCTTGATCATTCTTCAAGGGGCTGGACTCGACAAAACAGAACTGGACCTTTGCACACCAACGTAGTTTCTGCACCCTTCACCAAAGGCTCTCGACCGGTATTTCGTGAAAATGTCTGAACAAAATGCTTTCCAGAAACTAAGCGCACCTTGGGGGGGGGTAGGGGAGAGCGGAGTGGGATCCGAATGAACCCTGGCACCTCGTTCAGAGTGATGATGTCCGCCTGCCCCTCCGAAGCGCTGAATGGAGCGGTGCGCCTCAGCGAAGTTCGAACACATCAGCCCAGACTACCCCCTCCCCAGGGGTCAGAGGTCAAGCCAAATAAGGACAAACCAGGCCCTAACTGTGGGGGGAGTCTTTGTGAGGACTTTTTCGTAGCGTCGCTAAACAAAGTACTCCCGCAACTCCAGCTAGAATTGAAGAAAAGCCAGCTCTCAACGTCGAGGCGCATTGTCTTCTTGCTGCTCTTCACCTGGCGAAATTGAACAAATCAGAAGCACCCCTGGTGCCCCTCGTCCCCCCCCCCCGGGTGCCCCCCAGCGCTCCAAGCCTCTAAGGAAGGAACAAAAGGGCGAGTCTGAGCAAACAAACGGTCTATTTGAAGGGAACCACTCTGAGAGTTGCCGTCACTCACGCTGATCCTGAATGCAACCTTGATATTACATCTCCTGAACACTCCCGCCGTAGACACTTTAAACGACATCAGCCTCCCTGCGTACCTCTGTTGGTTGCGGAACATGGTAGAACCCCGCCCCCCCCCCCCAAAACAAAAGAAGTTGCAACTTCTCAAAAAGAGCGACCGGTGAACAGATCGCCTCAAATGCTCGCCTCAAATGTTTTTTCCTTCAAATCTCGGCAAAATGAAAACATGCGTTCAGTCCTCCCAGGGTTCCCGCGTTCCCCACAGAATTTCAAAGCTTGATTTTCAAGCAGCAACGCATTTCTAGAGGACACGCTGGTAAATGCCGAATGACTGTCCCAGTTCATAAAAGGTAGCTCTCCAGATCACTCGCGCTAGGAACCGCAATCCCCCCCCATACAAAATTTGCTCTGCAAGTGTTGCAATCGTTCCAACATCTGAAACAAGGGATACCCTAGTAGAGGACTTTTATAGTGAGATGGGTTGACTGCAGGTGCGAGCTGACCAAACAAGTAGGCAGACTTGATCCTCTCATAAACTCCGCACTCATGCGGAATGAGTCAATTCTCTATCCACAGCATCCTTTCACATTTGCTCCAGGTGTCATGCTTTGGTATGGTTGGCTTTGGGAAATATGAAGTGGGGGGTTCGCAATAATCAAAGAGTTACTCGTGTCTCATTGGCTTCCTATTGAACAGTCGCGGGCCCTCTCTAAGCCGTCAAACAATACATCCTGAGGGGCATCAAGAAAACCTCTAGCAAAGATTAGCCTTTGATTTTCCAGGTCCTTGAGATCTATGGCTATGTTTCAATGTTTGAAAACATCTCTGTTTCTGAAATTTGTTTACTCGCTGCTCCGATAGGCAGGGAATGAGAAATGGAATGACCCCCACAATCCACCCCTTGTGGTTTCATTTTACGGGGAATCCCCAGGTTCATTCCCTCATCCCTACTGAGTACCACCAAGTTTAGCCTTTTGGTTCACGGGCAAGCCCGAAGAAATTGAAACGGAGACTTGAGCCTCGATGACCAGATTCCGCAGGTTGGGATCCGTGCCGTCCTAAGTTCACAGCTCATTTTTATCCACTACCCAAAGCTCCAGCGGGGTTGCGGGCGATATACGGTGGATGCCCTACTGTGGATGGGCGACATCCTGCACCGATCAAACCCTGGAATGAAGATTCCCCGGTAAAAACAAACGAACAATGTAAGTAAACCTTCGCCACACACCGAACCATAGGAAAAGGGAACAAGGACGGGATGAGGCAAGATAGCTGCGTGTTTCTATGCAAGGGTGACATTGCAACGGTAGATTGGAGGGTTTCTTTGTTCCCGTACTTTTAATATTTTGATATATTTGGGCATCCGTCGTACGCGTGGCTTTGGAGTTCCACTTAAGACAGTTTCTACCCCGAAGCTACCTCCAGGGGATGGGGGGGAAAAAGGGCGCTATACCAAAGGCACCTTCTTGGTCGTTGAGTTTAAAGGGACCCCCCAAAGAGGGCACAACAGGAGGTGGGTTTTGTTTGGATCCCTTATCCCGAGACGATTAAATGGAAAGGATGGATTTGGAGTAAATTGCACTTCTCCCAGAAAATTATCCTCGTGCTGGTCTGACTTCCTATCTGCTGACAATGATGGCTGGATTGTTGTGGCAGCGAACCCTGGACCCTGGGCCCTAGTATGGCCCCAAGTGATGTGTACTTCTAATAAGTTCTAAGGACCGAACCAAAGACAGAAAACCAGGCCGAATTTGAGGGAGCTCCCCACTAACAGGATAACCACCTCTGACTAAAATGGGCATGTGAATCCAAAGTGGAGACTTACTTGGCGTAGCTTGGGGTTCAGGGCTTGACGTGACAGTTGACTGAACAAAGCTCAATGGCCCACAACGATCCCCACTTCCTCACTCACCCAAAGGACCCGGGAAGACAGGGTTAAGCCTTTGGAGCTTAATTAGAGGTGGTTGCCAAATTCGGGAAACGAATCAAACATTTCAGGTCGATTCGATGTGGGCAAGTGAGTTTAGAACCGAAAGACTTGCAAAACATGTTCGCCTAAGCGAAATCGAGGATGAAATCACCGTGGCTGGTTGCTTGGGCTATAAGCCGCTTCACGCAGGTCAACATGAAGGGGTCCAAACAAATGATCAATTCACACCCTTTTGCAAGCGACCCGATCGGTAGAAAAAGGGGGACCCCTCAGCTCAGCAAACAAAAAACATGGTCTCGAAGGATGCCACCTGGGCACCTTAGGATTGATAATGTTTTCAGCTTCCCTCCAATTGGTGGTTAGGTTTGGGTTGTTTGGTGGTGGTAAAGGGAAGGCTTCCCAGTTACCCTCTACAAGAACCAGGGCTTCAAATCACCAAACCACAGCTCTAAATCACCAACTAAGGCTTAGCCGAGGTCTTGTGGTGAACCTACCAAGACCAAAAGCAACAACCGAAGTATCAAAAATAATCAATGTGGGATTGAATTTCATGCGTCTGTCCCTACTGGACTGGGCTCAAACAGTGAAACTCCTGGGTGGGCCGTGACTGCCATGATAGGAAGAATGGGACTTCTGAATCTTGTTAAAGCGTGTGATACTTGAATTGTTGTTCAAAATCGAGGGGGTCCTGATCCGGAAATGCGTAGCCCGTAGTGGGACACCAACATACCAGCAGAAACCGTTGATTTCAAGGAATGTGATGGAAAGCTGAGGTGAAGCATTGGCAGAATAAATGTCGCATTGCTAATCCTGCATGAATGAAGCACTGGAAATCTCACATTCTGAATTGGCAATACTAAACATAGCATTGGCAATACTAAATATAGCATTGGCAATGCTATAAAGAGTAGCTGGAATCTGAGATTAAGTAACTACTGGACATCAATTCAGAACTGGCAATACTAACATATTTACTGGGAATCGGAGATTTAGCATTGGCAATAACAAATTTAGCATTCCACACAAAGGTCAGAACGACTGTTTGCACTGTTCGGTGGGGGGGGTAATATTCAAGGAGGTCTCACATCATGCGCAAAAGGCTTCTCAAGAGCTCTTGTTGGGTGTGTGTGTGTGTGTGCTTTTTGGAGGGTACCTTTTCCTTTCTGAGCTTTAAAGGGACACCAAGCGAAACATGGGGTCCCCCAAAAGACAGACATGGCATAACCAACAGCTCGTGTTTTTGACGCTGGGGTTTCCTTGGGCTGGTTCTGAGCAGCCCAGCAGTCGCACCAACCAAAGAATATGCTCGAGCCTATGTCAGATTTCACAAACATTGAAATGCAACGCCATTTTGGTGGACCGATGAGGATTTTGACTGAACATGCAACAAACTGGGTTGCCTCCAAAAAAGATCTCCGCTTTTTTGCTTCCAAAACGGTCTAATGGGCGACAAATCAGCCATGAAATGGACATCGAGAGGTGGAGTCGCACGAATTCCACAATTGCTATGACATTATGGCCTATAGCTTCAAGGGGCAGGGTACTTAGCAAGTGGGTAACAAGCCACGGGGTATAACCCACAAAAAAGTCGTTGGTTACCACATGGCTGTGGCTCAAAAAACCGGTACCAAAATGGCTTGCCCTGGTAAGTGGAAACATGGACCAAAACCTGCGTAACCCCTCCTGTTTAATTTTGAGCCACACCCACGTACCAAACTTCCCCCATCGACCCGAGTCGCTTCGAGGCCCGAGCGCTCTGCAGGGAGTAGCGGATCTGCTTCAAATGGTCGCCCACCTTGGCGCGAATTCCCACTCCGCATCTGGTCCCCTAGAAACGCTCACTTGAGACGTGCCAAACTCAAGTCCAAGTTCCTGTCGTTTGCCACTTACAGTGTCTTCCCAACTGGAAAAGTCGCTTTTTGCGAACCAGCTTGTTGAGCCCATCAGGTAGAAACAAGTCAAACGGGTTTGGGGCACGAACCCGGTGCCCTTGGAGCTCGTCTGGCCCGAGCCACAAATCCGAGGCGACCACCCGGCCAGGCCTCTACACCAGTGACTTCCCCGGGTTTTTCTTAGACGGGGCGAATGGGTCGACCGGGAGAAGCCGACCGACAGGTCGCGAAATTTCGGCCCTTAGATTTCCAAAGCCGGAATTGAGGGATCACGTCATGTAAAAGGCCACCATGGTGAGCTCGTTTCGTGCTTGACTCCTTGGTCTATGTGAGCTGGCTGGCTGCAAAGAAAACTCGCTCTGGTCCAAACATCTAGGCCAGACTTGGACTCCCTGCAAAAAGTTGGCTTAAGGGTCCAAGACGGATTCCACTAGCCCCAAGCCACTACTATCAGGATTTAATAGGATCTGCAACCACTAAAAAGCTGCAGTTTGGGGGTCGTGGAAACCACCTTCGAAACGGCGAACTGAACGGATATGAAAACGGCGAAGCGTTAACGATGTATTCTTTTCTTTTGATTGCAAAGCGTCAAGGTGTCATGGCAGCCACCCCTACGAACAGGGTACTGAAGGATTCGTAAGACGCCTGCTGCCTTTTCTTCGAAGATGCTTGAATCAAGGGATTCCCTTGTTTGAGTTCCTGCTATTGTAGCCGGTTCTCCTAAGCATGCATGCTGACAAATGCTAACACAACCCGCCCCTGGGCCTCTTTAGCGGATGTTTAAAGCAGTGGCTCAAACCATGGTTCAAACAAGGCGTTGAATGGTCCCAACCCGCAAAAATCAAGAACACAAACACGAAAGCCAACCCCACCCTCCCGAGCAGGGCCTGAAGACAAAGGCTTGCTGGGGGATGTTGAGGGTCCTAACATGTCTCTCATGAGGCAAGGACGTTTAGATTTAGAGGCTCACCCTGGTCAAAGCAGCCTAAAAAGAGCCATTCAAGCGCTCTGAGGCGTTCCTTTCAGGTGATGCCAATCTATGAATCAGATACCTGGCCCAGGGCAGCAAGGGAAGTCATTGCAAATGAATAGTGACTATTAGTGGCGACAAGGACCAGTAAGGGCGACTTTGCAATGGTTCCCGTATGGCTCTGAATCAGTGCTGGACCATGAGTGGATTGGCCCAACTGGGGAGGGAGTAAGACTTACAGGTACGCTACAGTTCCACCAACTCGCATAGAACCCAGAAATTCAACATTTGTCTTTCAGCAACACCCAGTCAGGCTCCTTGTATGGCTGAACCAGTCGGGAGCAAACCCCAGCGTTGCCAAGCTGCTCGGTAGGACGCCTTGCCCAAGTCGTGCAGGGACTGAGGCAGAGCCGAAGCAGAACCAAGTGGAAACATTCCCGTTCGGCTGGGGAGAAAAGGTGGGCGAGGGCTTTCCCAAGTCGATTTTCAAGTCTCCCCGGCAAACCTTCCCCAATGAATGACGAATTCAATTTGTCAGGGACCCAGTCAGAATATGGAAGCGAAAGCGGAATCTCAAGCAACACACATTTTTTATGGGACCCCACCCCTCCCTCTTGCGCTCCAAACTTCGGAGCATCGCGGGTAGCGTTTCAATTCTATGACAATTGCTACTATTGGCGGACCTTCGTTTTCAACCCCAAACAAGCTTCTTGACCTTCATTTTGCCTTTTGGCTTGTGGGCAGCCAAAACCAGGTTGGGGTTGACTGCTTCCTAGGTTCCACCCTCCCAGCAACATGGAAGCGAAGGGAAGGTGCGTGGAACTTGTTTTTCCGCTTCAGGGGGCCTGCTTCGAAGAAGGTCCAGGCTCTTTAACCTCGATTTTCGCGCCATAAGCCAAGAGGTACAATTGTCTACAGTGGAGGTCAAAAGACAGGTCTGTGATTGGCGGGTCCCCAGCCACTAATATTCAACCTGGTGAGCAGCGTAGGGAAATTGTCCACTTCATCCTGAAGGGCGTTGTTTGGTTCCGATGGGATGTGATTTAGACGAAATTCACCAAACTATGACAACGGCACACATCTATCTCAAGACAAATATTTGTGTGTAAAAAGGGGGTGGGGACAAATGCATAGACATTTCTCTCCTTTGGGCTTCCTTGCGCGCAAGCCCCCTGAGATGTCCAATGACAAACTTCACTACCCTCCCACCAACGTTGCCATAAAACCTGACCAGAAGCCCCCAGAAGACCACGTTCCTTCCCGGCAGGTTCCATTGTTTGCGGGAGGGTTGGTAAAACAATGCCATGAGGAAGGCTTTAGATTGGGAATGTCGCTTTTGGAGGGCATCTATTTGGTTTTGTTGTACAGAAACCACATTTTGAGACAAAAACCCACATTGGAGGCTCAGCGGGGAGGGTTCCCCAACTCACATTGCCTAAATCTTGCACTCAGGGCCAAAGGGGAAAAATTGCTTTGCTCCGAACCGCCGGAGAAAAAGAGAATCTGGGTGCTTTTTAACTCACTGGCTGAATGGATTGGCCACAATTGTCTATTTACCACTCAAACGGTCCTCCCAAAAAGTATACAGTCCAGGAGGTCGGGAAGTGAGTTTAAAGGGGGGAGTGCTAAATAGGCCATTCCCTTTTCGGATATGAACAAAATATTCAAGCATAGCTACATAGCACGCTCGCGAATCAAAACATTCAAGCGAAAGGGAAACAAAGCAGCGATAGGGTAGGCGTGGCAAAGATAATGCCCCTTGAAAACCATCATTTTTGTTTTGACCCTAACAAACTGTTTGACCAGTTGGTCAAGGGCACAGCCACAAAATTTGTTGAGTTGTCAGCTGGAACATCTAAGGGGGTCCATTGCAACAATACTCTCTCACCAACGAACATGGAAGGGGTCCTGTGCACTTCCATCATCTTCCGTCTAGTGGGAGGGTAAAACTACCAAGCGCAGTAACACATGTCTCTTTACAAACTTCTAGGGTGAGTTGGCAGAAATTGTCCAAACTCATTGTCTGCCACTTTTAAGGTCATCCCGAAACTAAGTCCAGTTTCAGACTCAGTTGATTTCCCCGAATCAAAAGTTGATCACACTGCCGGCAGTGTCCCTTGAACCAACCCATCGCCACTTCCACAAACAAAAGACTCGCTCAGCTCGCCTCGATGAGCAGCCTCCAGGTGCCGGCCATGGCTCACCCCCGTCCGACGTGCAGCGGATGTGGCGTTTGGTTGGGCCTCCCAAAACCTTGGGACCCTTCGGCCGGGGCCCTAAGAAGTCCGAGGCTACGACGTACTTCTGGGTCCGGGTGACCTTCCTGAGGAAGGAAGGCGCAAGACATATGGCCCAGCCCAAGGGGAGAGATGACCTAAGTATCCCGGCAGATTGCTGTAACTCTAGAATGGAAGTCAATGCATCCCGGAATAACAGATCTTCATCATAGGAAAAGCAGACTGTTTTGTGACCTGGCGAGCCAACATTACCAAGCGTGTTGCTGGCAACCGGTAATGGGCCGGCGCGCGTTGAATCGCCTTCAGGCAGCGGTCGCGAAGCTACGAGCCACAGAACCAGCACGTGATTTCCCCTTGGTATTTTCGCAAAAGAAAAGTAAAGTGCTTCATGTTGACCCATATTAATCAGGGGGGTGTTCCCTCCAAAAGTGATAATTCCCACGGACACCCCCCATATTAATTGAAATGGGGTCAACATTATTAGCCCTCCACTAAAGACGAACAGGACCACAGTAGCAAGTAAAACTATGCACAAGGGGGGTCAATTTTGGCAAAGGTCAAACCCACAGTTTATTGAATCGACGTGAAGGGATGCTTGTGGTGGCCTGGACACAGCAAGTAGCATCATGCAGCATCCAGCCCCCAACCCCCTCTGGGGTTCCCTGAATCTAGCGGCGATTGAGCTCAAGCAAAGAACGTATCCACCCCTGTGCGGTTGTCCTTTCGGAAAACACTTTTTCAGGGAAAACCAAGGATACAAACAGCTGTACTTGTATTTTCCTGGGAACCTCTAGCTTGGTCACCTGCCCCTTTTGCGTTAAGAAAACATCATGCCTCGCAACCCGCCTGTCGAGCCCAACGTGGGTTCCATGTTGGGGTCCTAGCCTGATGCTTCTGACACTTGTCAGCAAAACCTGCAGGTTCCCACTAAACATGAGCCGATGAGGGAAAGCAAAGACAACAAAACACAATCAAGCACGCACCTTTCTATACCCCTTACTTCCAAAACTACACCTGCATATATATATATATACACATATTTCACATACACATGTACACAGTATATAGGTTGCCCCATTTCCGGAACAACGACGCAAACCACAACACCGGGAAGAGTTACCTCGTCGGCCAAGCGCGCGCCGCCGCTTTTCTTCGCACAGCCAAAGTGGGTGCTGAGACGTAGCTTCGACTTTGGCATTGAACAAACCACATACCTAGTAGCAAACATGTCCCAGCACTGTGTGCTAAACGGGTGCGTGTGTGTGTGTGTGTGGAACAATCAAAGCAAACATAGCCTTTTGCGATTTCCACCAAAACCATATGGGCCTGTATTTTGTGAGCTGGTACTCCTTTTGGGTGGCTTTAAAGACAACCACTCAAAATGGTGAGTACCCCCTCCAACAAAAAGTACACCCAATGCGCCCTGGCAGCCTGGAAAGCAAATGCACAACGAGCCTCGTGAGAAAGAACCAAGCAGGAGAATCAAAGCGGGCAAGGCGACGATCGCACATCCGTGTTCAAGTCACTTGCGATTCAACATCCTGATTACTCCCTCACCCACAAGCATGGCGAAAGGTCTCTGCAAAACATATCTCCGCAATAAACCTTGACATGAGTGACTATCGGAAGGCTGGGCTCTTTCATTTACTCCCATGGCGAAGGTCCGTAAATCAGGGTCCCAAAAAGCAATTGATCTCTAACTGTTGGGTTCCACGCTAACCTGTCTTGCTTCTTGAGCGGATTGGCCAAACCAAGTTCAAACTGGTAGTTGCCACTAAATGGCCTTGCAAAAAGTCCAGGAGATCAGGGAGTGAGAGCTGTTGAAGAGAACATACCTAATTTGAAGTCCCGCTGCTTGGAGCCGACTCCACTTCCGCCTCAAACCGACCGACTGATCGGCCCCAATTTCCGCGCGCGGGAATCCAGCCGTTCAGCCGTTCAGCGCTCGAAGAGTCGGTAGCCGTTCCGCTGGATGCGGGTGTCGTCCGTCATCAAGCCAGGGATGCAGCGAGATCCTGAGTGGTTTCATGAAGGAACCTGTCATGTTGCATTACTTGGCCCTGACAACGGGCCAACGATTATTCGGCCGCTGGCATCAAGGTGCAGGCTCAAGAACACGTGGCGACCGAAAGGCATTAAAGATTTGGTGTTCTTTGGCCTCCAAAGGCTTCTTGAGGCCTGCAACTATGGTGGGGGGGGTCTTTGGTATTCTTTGGTGGGGTGGTGTGTAAGGTTCCTGATTTCGGCCTTGGCCCAAACAGGGCGTATGCCTTTGGCAGTGGTGGAGAAAGGAGAAATCCGATTCGACCGATTCGATCGGCAAATGAGATTCGATTTTTTACGGGACCATTTTGAGTTGTTCTCCTCTGCGGCAACGAGCATCACTGTTCCAGAGTTCGGGCCATGCCGCAGCGGAAAAATAAGGACATATATTGGGCAATAGGACGGTTGCAGATTTCGGGTGTGGCATGCGCAAGGAGCGGTGCAATTCAGGGAACCCTTGCACCAAAATGTATGTGTGCCACCTTGTGGGGTGATAAGTTTGGGGGAAAATTGTCACGACCACTTCTCCTTCCAGGTGTTGAATACTGTTCCTGGAAAGGCGTGGGCAATTCAACAACGCCGCAAACAAATGGAGGGCCGTCAAAACAGGGTAACACACACAAACGACAAAGCTTTCGACCATATTCAAAAGCAGCATGCGGACCAACGGCTCGTGAAATTGATACGACCCCCCCCCACAACATCACCCCAACGCTTTGGGCTTCAGTCTTTCCACACAATGTGTGAGCTCGGGGGTTCGCCACAAGGCGTGAGCAACTGGAAGATAACTGGACGGTTGAGGATTTCCCCAACGGCTATGGGTCAATTCGCAAATCCTGGGTTTGGATTTGGGCGACTGTTAAAAGAAAAGCTGGAGATAATTCACGTGGACAAACCCAACCTCCCGTCATCCATTTGTTTTAAGGCTGCTCACATGTATTTTCACACCACAGTCCGAAGCTGACAAAAGCTTCCGATTGCCCAAGGGGGGTGTCAATGAAACATCTTCTCAAACAGGATTCCTTGAAGAAATAAATCCCACAACTACCAGCTTTACAAGGGAATCCTCTCACTCAGCTGGGAAAAACTGCTCCCTTCGCCCATGGTGGATCCTTTACTCGGCCCATCTTGGCCCAGATCTGGGGTCCACAAACAACCATATCTAACGATTTTTCATATGTGGTCTCTAATTGAAATAGTATTACAGGAGATTTCAGTTGTCCGGTCCGTATTGGTGGGATGTGGGGATTCGAAGACCTTATTGTAGAGGGTAAATAGCTTTCTGGTCTCTAGAAAAACCACAAAAAGTAGTGGTCTTCCTGTTGGTTTCCCTTAAAACCCAAAAAACAGGGGTACCCTCAAAAAGGAAGAAAAACATGGGAAACCGCCTCGCCCCGTGTCCGGGGTCTGGCCGAGCCACCGCAGGCGAACTCCTCGTCCGCGTCCTCGCGGATGCCCATCTCGCCTCGCAGATCAGTGGCCGAGTTGGGAGCTCGAAATTCGGGAAACAAAGTGATCCCGAATGCTTCTACCTGGAGTCTCCATGACCCTTTAAGAATGGGTCAATGACCCCAAATTTTTGGGTAATGACCCATTTTTAAAGGGTCATACAAAAAAAAGGGTCATAGAGATTGCAGGTATTAGGTGTAGCCTCTGGAGTCTTCATGTGTATCCGCTCGAACGAAGGGAGGTGAGTGAAAAACAACGAGATGATGGGATGGCTCTCTTCATCATATGCCATCCCTCACTTTCCCTGCAAGCATGAATGCTGTATCCATGCAAAAGATGCGGCATTCCGAAACATTCTAGAATCCAGCAACCCCCTGAAACTCGCTTTGTCCACAGCTCGTTATGAATTGTTCAGGTATGGAGGTTGCACAGCTTAAAGTCACTCGCTGCACCCATAAAAGTTGAAGCTCCAAAAAGTACCCTGGAAACGGACCAGGCCATGGGAAGCACAGGAACGCATGGACAATCCACTAGGAACGCTTCGACAAAGTCTGCCAGTCCTGACTGGTGTCGGATCCCACTTCAAATCACTCCAGACACCTGTTTCCTCCTACACCCAAGGACCGGCCCCAGGACTCTGCCATTCCGGTCCCACATATCGCTCCAAACACCGGACTGGCACCCGTGTTTCAGGACCGGTCCTGGACCGTCCCAAGTCCCAGCCCCTGCCTGCGACCGGTCGAGGGCACCCGTCCCAGGGGCAGTTTGGCCTTGTTTCTAGGACCGTCCGCTCCCGGGCCAACTTGAAAGTGATTGGGCGAGCTGCCATCTTTCTGACTTTTCCGTTAATCCTTGTGGTAGTGGAGGATCCCTGGATCTATTCTGCAAAAGAGCCCAATACGTCGATCCAAACCGCTGTTTCGGGAGGGCCTGTTTCAGGACGACCCCCGGGGCGCGAACCGGCCCAAGCGGTAATTAACGGACGAGCTGCCATCTTTCTGACTTTTCCGTTAATCCTTGTGGTCGCAGAGGATCTGATAAGTGGTCCCTGGGTTTGCGGACTGGCACCCGTGTTTCAGATGAATACAAAGAATCAATTCATAGGTGGGTTCCAACAAATCTGCAACGATCCAAATTGGACATTGAGGGACCCCCGTTCCGATTTTTTTGGGTTGCACATCTGGGGAGGGCCGACCAGAGAGGTCCGTTTCTGCAGTTCCACGATTGCAACCGGGCAACTGACGTTCAGCTCGGGGATTCGAATCCAACTGAATACATTAGGCCAAGAGTACTGCGTCGGTTTCGGTGGGCCTGGAGTGGGTTTAGGATGAGTGGAGGCCGGGTTTTAGGGGGCAGGTTTAGGCACTGGGAGGTATTCGGGCGGTTGGGGTGGGTAGACATAGGGTGATAAAAAGGGTGGGCCAAGAATAGCGACGTTCTCGGGGATTGGAATCCAACTCCTTGGCTCGTTAGGCCAAAGTTGGCCTGACGGGTCACAGGAGTCAGCCGCTGAGCTGCTTTGCCAGGCTGTGGCGCAGCCGCCCATCTTGAACGAGAGCCCGCCGCAGACTGCTCCGCATCACCCAGCGACCGCCGCTGCGGGGTTGCGACATGGCCAAACCCAGGAATCATTTCCGTAATGCGCCGAGGGTCGGCAACAGCAGGCGGGAGCCCACGAGCCCGTGGTTTCCCCGGAGGCCTTCGGCTTCCCTTAACCGAAGGTTATAAGGCTCGCGCCCCCTGCCGCCGACCCCCCCCCGGCCGATTCCGGTTCACTCCCGGTTCACTCCCGGTCGATTCCGGTTCACTCTCCTCGGCCGAGCCCGATTCCTGGCGGGGTTTTCGGTGAACAAGTGTTTTTGATGGTTTTGCATGGATTCAAGGACGCGTTGTTGCGAAAATCCTGACAACACGTGGAAAATTCATGCTTTTAGTGTCGTTTCTGGAAGGTGCTTCGAACTTGCTGGCAGGCCCTGCGTGTTCCTATGCTTTTTGGTGGGCACGAACGCAGAAGATGTGGACACCTGCTTAACAGTCGGCCTTCACCGGTCTCTTGCCAAATGGCCTTGGGAGATCTGCGACGTTAAAAACACGTGGTTTTTACGAGGCTTTGGGCCTTGACGAGGGGTCCGGGAACGAAAACTTCGCATCTCCTGGCGCCCGGCTGTCAGGCGTAAGCCCCTAAATAAAGTAGCCCCCTAACAATAGCGAAACAAAAGCAACGCCCCACCACTCTGGGATCTAGTAAAAATATTGGCTGGAACTAGGACCCCAGCATTTTTGTTGCCTAGGTATTGGAAAACAATGGGGACCCCAAAAAAGCCAAAAAAAAAGAAAGAAAGAAGAAGGAACTAACTCTGGGGAAGAAATGGAGAACACATTTGAAACCTTTGGCCTTGAACAAATATAGACACATTCTAAAGCTCCTGCCCGTGATGTGGGATGACCTAGCTCCGCGATACCAATCACTAGCTCTCCACTTGCAGTGGGAAAGCCCTCAGGCCCCCCCGCCTTGTGACAATCTTCGGGGAACAGGGGCCGGATTTCCAGTTCAAAACTTGCAGTTTACTGGTAGGTTCCAACAAAACTGCCACTTTCGGAGGTACAATATCGGGAAACTGAAGAGGGATTGCTGGGAAACGGTGCCCTGTCAACCCCGATGGCCCGCTCCCACTCCGCTTGGCCTCCCGTGAAGCTGCCGGAGACCCAGCCCAGCACCGACAAGCCAAAGGCGCCCAGCAGGTACTTGCCTCAGCTACCTGGAGCCTCCATGACCCTTGAAAAATGGGGTTACCCAAAATGTTGGGGTCATTGACCCATGTTTAAAGTGTCATGGAGACTCCAGGTAGACAGAAAAAGTGGCGATCGATTCGGTACGTCGGGTAAGTGGTGAGAGTAAGCGCGGCAGCGCGGTTACAATCCACTTGGGCTTATGACCATGGCTTTTGAGGGTTGTCTCACCATGGTTATTGCTCACTTACCTGGCGTACCGAATCGATCGCCCCTTTCAGTAGGACTATGACTCAAAGCATTAGGGGTTCTTCCAATCCAACTACAGGAAGAACAGAGAATCCCCCCCCATCCTCCCTGCCCTCCCCCCCCCCCCCCAGCGGATTTCCGTCACCCCCGCTTGGGGTGTTTTCCGAGCCCTGTGCCCTGTGCGCCAAGTTTTGGGAGACGAGTGTAAAGGAGAACCCTCAACTAAAAATGACAGGGAAGAACTCTGGAGGTTTGGAACCTGAAGCTGGTGATGCAGCAATAGGTCGACGGTGGACTCGGTGGACTCGGAGTTGCCCTGGGTCTGAGGGTGAAGAGAAAGTGGCTTGGGATGCGCTGTTTGTGTGGATCTCACCTGTTGTCCTGTCCGATTCTTGGTCCTTTTGATACGTGTTGACCAGTTAACAAGTGTTTCCTAATTAGCTAATTTGGGGAGAAGCAAGCCTGCCGGCCTGCAGGTCTGGGCATATGTTGGTTGGATGCGGTGTGTGTGTGTGTAGGGTCCAAGGAGCGTAACCTTGCCATGGCCGGTCCGGTCTGGTACTCTCCCAGAAGCTTGTCCCGCTGGATCTCGTCTGTGCTCTTTTGGACGGACCCGCTCGCCTCAAGCGGCAGGATGTCAAGCGACGTTTCGGGGCTGCTGACCCATCCAGTCTGGCTGGAAAAAGACTCACTTCCGATCGAGTGGATTAGCGAACAAGAAGCAACCCAACTTTTTATGTACCACTAACAGGGTCTTCCCAAAAAAAAATAAAGGCCAGGAAGTCGGGAAGTGAGAAAAAGGCTCATCTTGGGCCTTGCATGACTGAATTGAAGGAGCCAGCCGACAGGGTGAAGTGTGGCAAGTCAACGGGTAAGGGTACTCTTGCTATAGAACCTGACAGGGGGATTCTGCAGATTTTGATTTGGATCAGTATGATTGTTCTGTGTCGAGTTCCATGTTAGCTAGTTGGTGGGCGTCGAGTGATACAGGGAACCTCAGCTTCCAGTTCCTCACAACCCTTGGCATACGTTACTTTTTGCAGCCCCCTACTAAAAATGAACAGAACCAAAGAACTAATAAACCAAACAACATGCAAGAACAGTCAAGCAATTCATCAGTGTTCCTTGTTCCCTTGCGACAGCCGGCAGCATCCGCAGCCCGAGCGGCTGTAGAAACCCCCGTCTCCAGGGGAGAAGGCGCGGCGGGTGTTGGGGTCCCGGCGGTCCTCTACGATGAAGGACCGGGCCTTGAGGTTCTTGTTCCTTGCAAGGCCGTGGGTTGCTCCTCCCAAAGCAAAAGGTCTAACCTGCAGCTTTCATGGGAAAGCCACACTTGTGTCCAAAAGGAACACATCCATCGGAAGGAGTTTGGGAAAATCCTCAGCAGATTCTCCCATGATGACCACAATTCAAACAACCAAGGCTCTTGTAGCATGTCAGGGGCTTATAGCACCCCCAAAATGGCGGGTTTCCATGGGCCCGGGCGTTAAACCGGGCGTCAAACCGGGGCTGAAAAAGAAACTGTACCACAAGGGTTCCCTGCAAGGACTTAGTGAAGACTTCATCGTCCACTTACAAAAGCTCTAGACTGCAAGTCCCCGCGTAAACTTGCCCCAAAAGTGAGATGCAAGGCATCAACTCCCAAGCCGGCGTCCTCACTAGAGCTGGAGCCGAGATGCAGATCCACAAGGGCTGTGATAACCATAACAAAAAAAATGAACCCCGTGCAGCTAGGCATCAAGTGAGTTTGTGTGCAGTGCAATGTCAGGTTTGACATGGTAAAGAAACTTAGGAATCAGCAAGTTGATTTGGCCCAAGCATAGGCACAGCTTTGTTGGTTGTTGTACCCGGGGATAAGGGAGTCAAATTGGGAGGTGAACTTGGGTTGTTCAATCAACACCACAAGACACAAAAGAACGCCAAAACGCATACCAAGAAACCCCATGCCAAAGACCTGGGGTGAAGAAGTAAACTTGGGGTGTCAACAGTGTTAGCCTGCAATTCACCGCAAGTCTTCACACCCGTGTCACCAGGCGTGCAAGAGAAACAATGGCGACCCGATTCACTGGTTTTGAGTGCGGAGAGAGGCGAAACCCCAGAGTGACGAACAATTTAGCTAACCCGAGCATCCATTAAGTGTGGATCCTTCGTTCCAGGCTGGGGCCACTTGAGCTCTAACCAATTTACCTTGACTGGTTGACCCCGAACTTCCGGCCTCCAACAATCAGGTGTCATAGTAATATCGAGCAAGCTGAGGTGCAAAGGCACACGACTAGTTGATCCTTTCGTTGATTTGTTTTTGGGCTCCAGCCCTTGCTATTTCTCAGCACCTCCAGTTTCCGGCTGGAGGGGGGGTCCTGCTTTCGCTTGCTTTTTGCAAAGGCTAGCAAGCAAACCATGCGCCATGGGAGAAGCGAACATCTAGTGCGCCGCGCGGCAGGGGGTCCACAAAGCTACTGACCCGCAGCAGCAGCACAAAGGTCGTCGCCATGCCGAGGCCCAGCGCGTAGCAAAAGGCCGCCGCCATATTGGGCAGCAGGATCCCCTCCTCGTTTGACACCGGGAAACTGACGGCATGGCCGTGGATACGAGGAACTGGTCCGGAAGGGAGTGTTCAGGTCGTAAAACCTGAGGTTAAGACGGGAACGATAGTTTTTATAGGATGATTTGTTGGGACCCAATAGGGAATCATGAAATACTTAAACGGGACCTGAACAAGAGACGTTTTAGCTGACCCCTTGAATGTGATCTTACAAATTAACAAATGGCTTCCTTATCCTTATGCTTACCAGATGATCCTGCGCAAGCCTAGGCCCCGTTGGTTTTCCATAGCTCAGCTCGTTCCGCGAGCGAGCCATGTCAGTTAAGAGTACCGTCAAACGGGGTCATCTTCTGTTAGATACTGTTAGCTGCTGTGACACGATCTATCATTTCAAAATGCTGCCCTGTGCGGCATGTCCGCAACGCCAGGCTCACGGCACACTGGACGAAATGATTGCTTTTCAAAGGGCCGCGCAAAAAGCTGCCAAATGACTTGCCGAGTCGAACTAGAGGTCAAACCCTGTGTTATTTCTGGAAGAAAAGGCCCGCCGCAATGGACCCCCCCGCGATGTTGGGTATGGGATTTAACCTTCGGCCCGCTTCTAGCTCGGAGGGCTGGGCTGAAAAGGAGTCAAGCCCCAAGGGCGTCCGCCGCGAGGCCACCCACCTCATCGATGGCGGACCCGTTGACAACCAAAAGCAGACTGATCCGAGCAATCCCCGGGACGCCTGGATGAAAAACGTGGGGCACCAACTAATATATGCCCATCCTACCCGGGAATTGTATGGCGAAGGGTCCTTGATTGGCCCTTCCCTCAAAAGCCCTAAAATGATTGCTTCCGAAGAGCGCGATTTGGGGCCTTTTCCCCGCAGAAAAGCCAGCACCACTCATGGGCTTCAAACCAACGCTGAAACTTTTGAGGACCACACTGAAACTCCAAACCCCCCTAACCCAGCCCGAGTCAGAACATGCGCTGCACCAGGGGGAAGGGGTGGGCCTGGATTCGGAGTTCTTGTCCAAAATCCGGACACCAAAAACAAACAGGCTTAGAACACAATTGCGTAAAGTTAACGCGGCACAACAAATGCAATGTTCAGATTCCGCTTCATATTTAGTCTACCCTAAAAAGCAAGTGGAGGCAACCATAACTTTTTTCTCCGACATTCGAGTGGCACGGTGGTGCTGAGCACCAGCGAGATCAGGAAGCTTACGGAAGAGAAGCCCAGCATTTTCTTCGCGAACTCGTCGTCCTCCAGGAAGCCCCAAGATCCTGCGATCGACAGCTGATGTACCTACTTTTGGATGGTGTTTGGTCAAAATATCCAGGTGTGCGGAATCTGATCCTGATGATTTATCATCATTAATGAGGAACTTGTGAAATATGAGCAACATAACTCCATTACAAACTAAACTGTAAACGATCTACCTTGTCAAGACCCCGCGAGCCACGAACTAAGCGAAAGTGCAGGGCTAACCTCAACCGTTGAGTCTTCCCCGGCATCCGAGGCAAACCAATGTTTGCAAGCCCTGCACAAACTTCTGAACAATCCGTCCCGCAGCTTCCTTCAGAAATGACATGCCAGCTCGCAGCCACCAATAGCACTCAAAAGCTCCAATCTCCAAGCCCCCCCACCAAGGGCAAGCAGGTTTCAATTAGCTCAAAAACCACAGCGCGTCCTTGTTCAATCTCCAGTAACCAAAGAACAACCGAAAATTTCGGCCACCCCAGCACTGGAACAAAGATTCATCTTGCGCAACCATGGCATAAGCCAGGGATCAAAAAAAATTGCTCGAGCAATTTGAAAGCAAACGCAACAGTGCGGCCCGAATACGCGGAAAGTCAAAAGCAAACCACCGGGTTACCCCAACGGGGGGCCTGCGTGGCCCAGTTGCAACCGCCGATCAGCTGAACAGCGGTTGGTACTTTTACGTACTGCGGCCGTCCCCACCACCAACTGGCGGCCAACAGGTGGGGCCGAGTGTCACTGAGGAAAGACTCAATCGCAAGCACAGCTCACTGAAAAGAACGGCGCGCCGTTTGCGTTTGTTAAAGCGGTGAGTTCGAGCATTGATTCAATCATTTCCTTCAGTGGCCGGAGCGGGCACCATTGCAGCCCCAGCCCGGGATTGGGTGGCTAACAGAGAACAAGAATCTCGCGCGCGTCGTCGCGTCTCTTTGCTAATTCCCCCCCTCTCTGCACTCATGATTCTATTCAGACACAATATGCTTACCGTGATTTTGCCCAAAGGGTATCTGACAAGCTCCCAGACAAAGAAAATGTTACACAGTCTGATCCTTGCGAGCTGTGAAGGCCATCGGCTGGCAGTGGCAAGCTCACCCCCATCAAGTTTCAAAGCTGGCTGAAGTCAACTTCCACTTGCTTCACCAAGTGTAAAGCCACAGCCTACCCAACTCCTGGAAAACCCCAACATCTTGACCAATGAGAAAGCACTAAAGCCTGTTCAAGAAACCACCAAACCCCGTCCAATCGGATCTTCTTGCACTCGCCGGTACTCCACGATGGGGTCATACGGCGTCTCTTGCCGCTTCTTCTTGGCTCGCAGCACCCTGCGTGCTCTCGCTGACCAGACCAGGCCGCACACGGTAGAGCACGCCGCTATTCGCCGGCCTGTGGCAAGGAAAGCCCTCACAGGCGTGAAAGCGTTTTGCTTTGGGCACGCGCTGGCAACAACGCTGGACTTCAAGACACCGCCACCAACCTATCAAGCCCCGCTAGGTGGGGAGGTTAGATTAGCGGTCGCAGACTTGACCAAGCGCAGCGTTGGGGGTTTGGCGCCCGCTTGTTTTTTGGGGTTAGGAATCGCGGCTCGCTTGGTCCGGCTTGGGCAGGTTCGGGCTTGCGCCTCGGCCTGAGCGCTTGGACGCGGTCTGCGGTAGTAGGCGTGCGTTTGCGAAAAACGTGTTCCCAGGCAGCAAGGCATCTTGGCTGCGTAGGCCCGCCGTCACCCGGTGCACCGACACTCACATCTTCCTAGTGTTTCTCCATGCACTTCATGGTGAGCAGGACCGCGAAATCTGAAAATGTCTACGTACGGCAGGGTCGAATGCGTCGTCAACGTCGGGTGTTTTGCTTTCTGGGCTTGATGGTTCCTTCTAATACCGCTTTTCAAGAGCTTGGTGCCTGCGGAAAAGGGGGGGGTTCTGTTTGCTTCGGCTTGGCAGCTGGCTTCTGTCTGCGAATTTCTGAGCAGCACCCTAGCCATGTTTCCACCAACTCCAGGCTATTTGGGATTCCAATCTGCGTTTCCTGCAAAGCACTTGTGTGGATACCGGGTGTGTTGAAGTGTCCTTCTGGTTGCACTTGCTGCGTCTGGGGCCGCATGTTTGCGGGGTGTGCGCTTGCGCCCCTCAGTGGCCAAGTGTGTTCGGGGCTCGAGTTATTGGCAATCAAACAAGCCAATGCTCGAGCATACCAAGAGGGGTCAACTACAAAGTTGTTGGGGATAAAGCATCCAAAGCAAATCGCAGTTTGCGCATCGCCTGGCTGCCCCTGAGAATTGTGCCAATCCACCATGGTGAGCTCGTTTCGTGCTTGACTCCTTGGTCTATGTGAGCTGGCTGGCTGCAAAGAAAACTCGCTCTGGTCCAAACATCTAGGCCAGACTTGGACTCCCTGCAAAAAGTTGGCTTAAGGGTCCAAGACGGATTCCACTAGCCCCAAGCCACTACTAGCAGGATTTAATAGGATCTGCAACCACTAAAAAGCTGCAGTTTGGGGGTCGTGGAAACCACCTTCGAAACGGCGAACTGAACGGATATGAAAACGGCGAAGCGTTAACGATGTATTCTTTTCTTTTGATTGCAAAGCGTCAAGGTGTCATGGCAGCCACCCCTACGAACAGGGTACTGAAGGATTCGTAAGACGCCTGCTGCCTTTTCTTCGAAGATGCTTGAATCAAGGGATTCCCTTGTTTGAGTTCCTGCTATTGTAGCCGGTTCTCCTAAGCATGCATGCTGACAAATGCTAACACAACCCGCCCCTGGGCCTCTTTAGCGGATGTTTAAAGCAGTGGCTCAAACCATGGTTCAAACAAGGCGTTGAATGGTCCCAACCCGCAAAAATCAAGAACACAAACACGAAAGCCAACCCCACCCTCCCGAGCAGGGCCTGAAGACAAAGGCTTGCTGGGGGATGTTGAGGGTCCTAACATGTCTCTCATGAGGCAAGGACGTTTAGATTTAGAGGCTCACCCTGGTCAAAGCAGCCTAAAAAGAGCCATTCAAGCGCTCTGAGGCGTTCCTTTCAGGTGATGCCAATCTATGAATCAGATACCTGGCCCAGGGCAGCAAGGGAAGTCATTGCAAATGAATAGTGACTATTAGTGGCGACAAGGACCAGTAAGGGCGACTTTGCAATGGTTCCCGTATGGCTCTGAATCAGTGCTGGACCATGAGTGGATTGGCCCAACTGGGGAGGGAGTAAGACTTACAGGTACGCTACAGTTCCACCAACTCGCATAGAACCCAGAAATTCAACATTTGTCTTTCAGCAACACCCAGTCAGGCTCCTTGTATGGCTGAACCAGTCGGGAGCAAACCCCAGCGTTGCCAAGCTGCTCGGTAGGACGCCTTGCCCAAGTCGTGCAGGGACTGAGGCAGAGCCGAAGCAGAACCAAGTGGAAACATTCCCGTTCGGCTGGGGAGAAAAGGTGGGCGAGGGCTTTCCCAAGTCGATTTTCAAGTCTCCCCGGCAAACCTTCCCCAATGAATGACGAATTCAATTTGTCAGGGACCCAGTCAGAATATGGAAGCGAAAGCGGAATCTCAAGCAACACACACATTTTTTATGGGACCCCACCCCTCCCTCTTGCGCTCCAAACTTCGGAGCATCGCGGGTAGCGTTTCAATTCTATGACAATTGCTACTATTGGCGGACCTTCGTTTTCAACCCCAAACAAGCTTCTTGACCTTCATTTTGCCTTTTGGCTTGTGGGCAGCCAAAACCAGGTTGGGGTTGACTGCTTCCTAGGTTCCACCCTCCCAGCAACATGGAAGCGAAGGGAAGGTGCGTGGAACTTGTTTTTCCGCTTCAGGGGGCCTGCTTCGAAGAAGGTCCAGGCTCTTTAACCTCGATTTTCGCGCCATAAGCCAAGAGGTACAATTGCCTACAGTGGAGGTCAAAAGACAGGTCTGTGATTGGCGGGTCCCCAGCCACTAATATTCAACCTGGTGAGCAGCGTAGGGAAATTGTCCACTTCATCCTGAAGGGCGTTGTTTGGTTCCGATGGGATGTGATTTAGACGAAATTCACCAAACTATGACAACGGCACACATCTATCTCAAGACAAATATTTGTGTAAAAAGGGGGTGGGGACAAATGCATAGACATTTCTCTCCTTTGGGCTTCCTTGCGCGCAAGCCCCCTGAGATTTCCAATGACAAACTTCACTACCCTCCCACCAACGTTGCCATAAAACCTGACCAGAAGCCCCCAGAAGACCACGTTCCTTCCCGGCAGGTTCCATTGTTTGCGGGAGGGTTGGTAAAACAATGCCATGAGGAAGGCTTTAGATTGGGAATGTCGCTTTTGGAGGGCATCTATTTGGTTTTGTTGTACAGAAACCACATTTTGAGACAAAAACCCACATTGGAGGCTCAGCGGGGAGGGTTCCCCAACTCACATTGCCTAAATCTTGCACTCAGGGCCAAAGGGGAAAAATTGCTTTGCTCCGAACCGCCGGAGAAAAAGAGAATCTGGGTGCTTTTTAACTCACTGGCTGAATGGATTGGCCACAATTGTCTATTTACCACTCAAACGGTCCTCCCAAAAAGTATACAGTCCAGGAGGTCGGGAAGTGAGTTTAAAGGGGGGAGTGCTAAATAGGCCATTCCCTTTTCGGATATGAACAAAATATTCAAGCATAGCTACATAGCACGCTCGCGAATCAAAACATTCAAGCGAAAGGGAAACAAAGCAGCGATAGGGTAGGCGTGGCAAAGATAATGCCCCTTGAAAACCATCATTTTTGTTTTGACCCTAACAAACTGTTTGACCAGTTGGTCAAGGGCACAGCCACAAAATTTGTTGAGTTGTCAGCTGGAACATCTAAGGGGGTCCATTGCAACAATACTCTCTCACCAACGAACATGGAAGGGGTCCTGTGCACTTCCATCATCTTCCGTCTAGTGGGAGGGTAAAACTACCAAGCGCAGTAACACATGTCTCTTTACAAACTTCTAGGGTGAGTTGGCAGAAATTGTCCAAACTCATTGTCTGCCACTTTTAAGGTCATCCCGAAACTAAGTCCAGTTTCAGACTCAGTTGATTTCCCCGAATCAAAAGTTGATCACACTGCCGGCAGTGTCCCTTGAACCAACCCATCGCCACTTCCACAAACAAAAGACTCGCTCAGCTCGCCTCGATGAGCAGCCTCCAGGTGCCGGCCATGGCTCACCCCCGTCCGACGTGCAGCGGATGTGGCGTTTGGTTGGGCCTCCCAAAACCTTGGGACCCTTCGGCCGGGGCCCTAAGAAGTCCGAGGCTACGACGTACTTCTGGGTCCGGGTGACCTTCCTGAGGAAGGAAGGCGCAAGACATATGGCCCAGCCCAAGGGGAGAGATGACCTAAGTATCCCGGCAGATTGCTGTAACTCTAGAATGGAAGTCAATGCATCCCGGAATAACAGATCTTCATCATAGGAAAAGCAGACTGTTTTGTGACCTGGCGAGCCAACATTACCAAGCGTGTTGCTGGCAACCGGTAATGGGCCGGCGCGCGTTGAATCGCCTTCAGGCAGCGGTCGCGAAGCTACGAGCCACAGAACCAGCACGTGATTTCCCCTTGGTATTTTCGCAAAAGAAAAGTAAAGTGCTTCATGTTGACCCATATTAATCAGGGGGTGTTCCCTCCAAAAGTGATAATTCCCACGGACACCCCCCATATTAATTGAAATGGGGTCAACATTATTAGCCCTCCACTAAAGACGAACAGGACCACAGTAGCAAGTAAAACTATGCACAAGGGGGGTCAATTTTGGCAAAGGTCAAACCCACAGTTTATTGAATCGACGTGAAGGGATGCTTGTGGTGGACTGGACACAGCAAGTAGCATCATGCAGCATCCAGCCCCCAACCCCCTCTGGGGTTCCCTGAATCTAGCGGCGATTGAGCTCAAGCAAAGAACGTATCCACCCCTGTGCGGTTGTCCTTTCGGAAAACACTTTTTCAGGGAAAACCAAGGATACAAACAGCTGTACTTGTATTTTCCTGGGAACCTCTAGCTTGGTCACCTGCCCCTTTTGCGTTAAGAAAACATCATGCCTCGCAACCCGCCTGTCGAGCCCAACGTGGGTTCCATGTTGGGGTCCTAGCCTGATGCTTCTGACACTTGTCAGCAAAACCTGCAGGTTCCCACTAAACATGAGCCGATGAGGGAAAGCAAAGACAACAAAACACAATCAAGCACGCACCTTTCTATACCCCTTACTTCCAAAACTACACCTGCATATATATATACACATATTTCACATACACATGTACACAGTATATAGGTTGCCCCATTTCCGGAACAACGACGCAAACCACAACACCGGGAAGAGTTACCTCGTCGGCCAAGCGCGCGCCGCCGCTTTTCTTCGCACAGCCAAAGTGGGTGCTGAGACGTAGCTTCGACTTTGGCATTGAACAAACCACATACCTAGTAGCAAACATGTCCCAGCACTGTGTGCTAAACGGGTGCGTGTGTGTGTGTGTGTGTGGAACAATCAAAGCAAACATAGCCTTTTGCGATTTCCACCAAAACCATATGGGCCTGTATTTTGTGAGCTGGTACTCCTTTTGGGTGGCTTTAAAGACAACCACTCAAAATGGTGAGTACCCCCTCCAACAAAAAGTACACCCAATGCGCCCTGGCAGCCTGGAAAGCAAATGCACAACGAGCCTCGTGAGAAAGAACCAAGCAGGAGAATCAAAGCGGGCAAGGCGACGATGTGCGATGCCCGTGTTCAAGTCACTTGCGATTCAACATCCTGATTACTCCCTCACCCACAAGCATGGCTAAAAGGTCTCTGCAAAACATATCTCCGCAATAAACCTTGACATGAGTGACTATCGGAAGGCTGGGCTCTTTCATTTACTCCCATGGCGAAGGTCCGTAAATCAGGGTCCCAAAAAGCAATTGATCTCTAACTGTTGGGTTCCACGCTAACCTGTCTTGCTTCTTGAGCGGATTGGCCAAACCAAGTTCAAACTGTTAGTTGCCACTAAATGGCCTTGCAAAAAGTCCAGGAGATCAGGGAGTGAGAGCTGTTGAAGAGAACATACCTAATTTGAAGTCCCGCTGCTTGGAGCCGACTCCACTTCCGCCTCAAACCGACCGACTGATCGGCCCCAATTTCCGCGCGCGGGAATCCAGCCGTTCAGCCGTTCAGCGCTCGAAGAGTCGGTAGCCGTTCCGCTGGATGCGGGTGTCGTCCGTCATCAAGCCAGGGATGCAGCGAGATCCTGAGTGGTTTCATGAAGGAACCTGTCATGTTGCATTACTTGGCCCTGACAACGGGCCAACAATTATTCGGCCGCTGGCATCAAGGTGCAGGCTCAAGAACACGTGGCGACCGAAAGGCATTAAAGATTTGGTGTTCTTTGGCCTCCAAAGGCTTCTTGAGGCCTGCAACTATGGTGGGGGGGGGGGTCTTTGGTATTCTTTGGTGGGGTGGTGCGTAAGGTTCCTGATTTCGGCCTTGGCCCAAACAGGGCGTATGCCTTTGGCAGTGGTGGAGAAAGGAGAAATCCGATTCGACCGATTCGATCGGCAAATGAGATTCGATTTTTTACGGGACCATTTTGAGTTGTTCTCCTCTGCGGCAACGAGCATCACTGTTCCAGAGTTCGGGCCATGCCGCAGCGGAAAAATAAGGACATATATTGGGCAATAGGACGGTTGCAGATTTCGGGTGTGGCATGCGCAAGGAGCGGTGCAATTCAGGGAACCCTTGCACAAAAATGTATGTGTGCCACCTTGTGGGGTGATAAGTTTGGGGGAAAATTGTCACGACCACTTCTCCTTCCAGGTGTTGAATACTGTTCCTGGAAAGGCGTGGGCAATTCAACAACGCCGCAAACAAATGGAGGGCCGTCAAAACTGGGTAACACACACAAACGACAAAGCTTTCGACCATATTCAAAAGCAGCATGCGGACCAACGGCTCGTGAAATTGATACGACCCCCCCCCACAACATCACCCCAACGCTTTGGGCTTCAGTCTTTCCACACAATGTGTGAGCTCGGGGGTTCGCCACAAGGCGTGAGCAACTGGAAGATAACTGGACGGTTGAGGATTTCCCCAACGGCTATGGGTCAATTCGCAAATCCTGGGTTTGGATTTGGGCGACTGTTAAAAGAAAAGCTGGAGATAATTCACGTGGACAAACCCAACCTCCCGTCATCCATTTGTTTTAAGGCTGCTCACATGTATTTTCACACCACAGTCCGAAGCTGACAAAAGCTTCCGATTGCCCAAGGGGGGTGTCAATGAAACATCTTCTCAAACAGGATTCCTTGAAGAAATAAATCCCACAACTACCAGCTTTACAAGGGAATCCTCTCACTCAGCTGGGAAAAACTGCTCCCTTCGCCCATGGTGGATCCTTTACTCGGCCCATCTTGGCCCAGATCTGGGGTCCACAAACAACCATATCTAACGATTTTTCATATGTGGTCTCTAATTGAAATAGTATTACAGGAGATTTCAGTTGTCCGGTCCGTATTGGTGGGATGTGGGGATTCGAAGACCTTATTGTAGAGGGTAAATAGCTTTTTGGTCTCTAGAAAAACCACAAAAAGTAGTGGTCTTCCTGTTGGTTTCCCTTAAAACCCAAAAAACAGGGGTACCCTCAAAAAGGAAGAAAAACATGGGAAACCGCCTCGCCCTGTGTCCGGGGTCTGGCCGAGCCACCGCAGGCGAACTCCTCGTCCGCGTCCTCGCGGATGCCCATCTCGCCTCGCAGATCAGTGGCCGAGTTGGGAGCTCGAAATTCGGGAAACAAAGTGATCCCGAATGCTTCTACCTGGAGTCTCCATGACCCTTTAAGAATGGGTCAATGACCCCAAATTGTTGGGTAATGACCCATTTTTAAAGGGTCATACAAAAAAAAAGGTCATAGAGATTGCAGGTATTAGGTGTAGCCTCTGGAGTCTTCATGTGTATCCGCTCGAACGAAGGGAGGTGAGTGAAAAACAACGAGATGATGGGATGGCTCTCTTCATCATATGCCATCCCTCACTTTCCCTGCAAACATGAATGCTGTATCCATGCAAAAGATGCGGCATTCCGAAACATTCTAGAATCCAGCAACCCCCTGAAACTCGCTTTGTCCACAGCTCGTTATGAATTGTTCAGGTATGGAGGTTGCACAGCTTAAAGTCACTCGCTGCACCCATAAAAGTTGAAGCTCCAAAAAGTACCCTGGAAACGGACCAGGCCATGGGAAGCACAGGAACGCATGGACAATCCACTAGGAACGCTTCGACAAAGTCTGCCAGTCCTGACTGGTGTCGGATCCCACTTCAAATCACTCCAGACACCTGTTTCCTCCTACACCCAAGGACCGGCCCCAGGACTCTGCCATTCCGGTCCCACATATCGGTTCAAACCGCTCCAAACACCTTTTTCCGGACTGGCACCCGTGTTTCAGGACCGGTCCTGGACCGTCCCAAGTCCCAGCCCCTGCCTGCGACCGGTCGAGGGCACCCGTCCCAGGGGCAGTTGGGCCTTGTTTCTAGGACCGTCCGCTCCCGGGCCAACTTGAAAGTGATTGGGCGAGCTGCCATCTTTCTGACTTTTCCGTTAATCCTTGTGGTAGTGGAGGATCCCTGGATCTATTCTGCAAGAGAGCCCAATACGTCGATCCAAACCGCTGTTTCGGGAGGGCCTGTTTCAGGACGACCCCCGGGGCGCGAACCGGCCCAAGCGGTAATTAACGGACGAGCTGCCATCTTTCTGACTTTTCCGTTAATCCTTGTGGTCGCAGAGGATCTGATAAGTGGTCCCTGGGTTTGCGGACTGGCACCCGTGTTTCAGATGACTTTTTCCGTAATGCGCCGAGGGTCGGCAACAGCAGGCGGGAGCCCACGAGCCCGTGGTTTCCCCGGAGGCCTTCGGTTCCCTTAACCGAAGGTTATAAGGCTCGCGCCCCCTGCCGCCGACCCCCCCCCCGGTCGATTCCGGTTCACTCCCGGTTCACTCCCGGTCGATTCCGGTTCACTCTCCTCGGCCGAGCCCGATTCCTGGCGGGGTTTTCGGTGAACAAGTGTTTTTGATGGTTTTGCATGGATTCAAGGACGCGTTGTTGCGAAAATGCTTTTAGTGTCGTTTCTGGAAGGTGCTTCGAACTTGCTGGCAGGCCCTGCGTGTTCCTATGCTTTTTGGTGGGCACGAACGCAGAAGATGTGGACACCTGCTTAACAGTCGGCCTTCACCGGTCTCTTGCCAAATGGCCTCGGGAGATCTGCGACGTTAAAAACACGTGGTTTTTACGAGGTTTTGGGCCTTGACGAGGGGTCCGGGAACGAAAACTGCGCATCTCCTGGCGCCCGGCTGTCAGGCGTAAGCCCCTAAATGAAGTAGCCCCCTAACAATAGCCAAACAAAAGCAACGCCCCACCACTCTGGGATCTAGTAAAAATATTGGCTGGAACTAGGACCCCAGCATTTTTGTTGCCTAGTTATTGGAAAACAATGGGGACCCCAAAAAAGCCCCAAAAAAACAAAGAAAGAAGAAGGAACTAACTCTGGGGAAGAAATGGAGAACACATTTGAAACCTTTGGCCTTGAACAAATATAGACACATGCTAAAGCTCCTGCCCGTGATGTGGGATGACCTAGCTCCGCGATACCAATCACTAGCTCTCCACTTGCAGTGGGAAAGCCCTCAGGCCCCCCCGCCTTGTGACAATCTTCGGGGAACAGGGGCCGGATTTCCAGTTCAAAACTTGCAGTTTACTGGTAGGTTCCAACAAAACTGCCACTTTCGGAGGTACAATATCGGGAAACTGAGGAGGGATTGCTGGGAAACGGTGCCCTGTCAACCCCGATGGCCCGCTCCCACTCCGCTTGGCCTCCCGTGAAGCTGCCGGAGACCCAGCCCAGCACCGACAAGCCAAAGGCGCCCAGCAGGTACTTGCCTCAGCTACCTGGAGCCTCCATGACCCTTGAAAAATGGGGTTACCCAAAATGTTGGGGTCATTGACCCATGTTTAAAGTGTCATGGAGACTCCAGGTAGACAGAAAAAGTGGCGATCGATTCGGTACGTCGGGTAAGTGGTGAGAGTAAGCGCGGCAGCGCGGTTACAATCCACTTGGGCTTATGACCATGGCTTTTGAGGGTTGTCTCACCATGGTTATTGCTCACTTACCTGGCGTACCGAATCGATCGCCCCTTTCAGTAGGACTATGACTCAAAGCATTAGGGGTTCTTCCAATCCAACTACAGGAAGAACAGAGAATCCCCCCCCATCCTCCCTGCCCTCCCCCCCCCCCCCCAGCGGATTTCCGTCACCCCCGCTTGGGGTGTTTTCCGAGCCCTGTGCCCTGTGCGCCAAGTTTTGGGAGACGAGTGTAAAGGAGAACCCTCAACTAAAAATGACAGGGAAGAACTCTGGAGGTTTGGAACCTGAAGCTGGTGATGCAGCAATAGGTCGACGGTGGACTCGGTGGACTCGGAGTTGCCCTGGGTCTGAGGGTGAAGAGAAAGTGGCTTGGGATGCGCTGTTTGTGTGGATCTCACCTGTTGTCCTGTCCGATTCTTGGTCCTTTTGATACGTGTTGACCAGTTAACAAGTGTTTCCTAATTAGCTAATTTGGGGAGAAGCAAGCCTGCCGGCCTGCAGGTCTGGGCATATGTTGGTTGGATGCGGTGTGTGTGTGTGTGTAGGGTCCAAGGAGCGTAACCTTGCCATGGCCGGTCCGGTCTGGTACTCTCCCAGAAGCTTGTCCCGCTGGATCTCGTCTGTGCTCTTTTGGACCCGCTCGCCTCAAGCGGCAGGATGTCAAGCGACGTTTCGGGGCTGCTGACCCATCCAGTCTGGCTGGAAAAAGACTCACTTCCGATCGAGTGGATTAGCGAACAAGAAGCAACCCAACTTTTTATGTACCACTAACAGGGTCTTCCCAAAAAAAAATAAAGGCCAGGAAGTCGGGAAGTGAGAAAAAGGCTCATCTTGGGCCTTGCATGACTGAATTGAAGGAGCCAGCCGACAGGGTGAAGTGTGGCAAGTCAACGGGTAAGGGTACTCTTGCTATAGAACCTGACAGGGGGATTCTGCAGATTCTGATTTGGATCAGAATGATTGTTCTGTGTCGAGTTCCATGTTAGCTAGTTGGTGGGCGTCGAGTGATACAGGGAACCTCAGCTTCCAGTTCCTCACAACCCTTGGCATACGTTACTTTTTGCAGCCCCCTAGTAAAAATGAACAGAACCAAAGAACTAATAAACCAAACAACATGCAAGAACAGTCAAGCAATTCATCAGTGTTCCTTGTTCCCTTGCGACAGCCGGCAGCATCCGCAGCCCGAGCGGCTGTAGAAACCCCCGTCTCCAGGGGAGAAGGCGCGGCGGGTGTTGGGGTCCCGGCGGTCCTCTACGATGAAGGACCGGGCCTTGAGGTTCTTGTTCCTTGCAAGGCCGTGGGTTGCTAACCTGCAGCTTTCATGGGAAAGCCACACTTGTGTCCAAAAGGAACACATCCATCGGAAGGAGTTTGGGAAAATCCTCAGCAGATTCTCCCATGATGACTACAATTCAAACAACCAAGGCTCTTGTAGCATGTCAGGGGCCTTTTTCGCACCCCGAAAATGGCGGGTTTCCATGGGCCCGGGCGAACCGCTGAAAAAGAAACTGTACCACAAGGGTTCCCTGCAATGAGGACTTAGTGAAGACTTCATCGTCCACTTCTTAAAGCTCTAGACTGCTTTTGTCCCCGCGTAAACTTGCCCCAAAAGTGAGATGCAAGGCATCAACTCCCAAGCCGGCGTCCTCACTAGAGCTGGAGCCGAGATGCAGATCCACAAGGGCTGTGATCACCATAACAAAAAAATGAACCCCGTGCAGCTAGGCATCAAGTGAGTTTGTGTGCAGTGCAATGTCAGGTTTGACATGGTAAAGAAACTTAGGAATCAGCAAGTTGATTTGGCCCAAGCATAGGCACAGCTTTGTTGGTTGTTGTACCCGGGGATAAGGGAGTCAAATTGGGAGGTGAACTGGGGTTGTTCAATCAACACCACAAGACACAAAAGAACACCAAAACGCATACCAAGCAACCCCATGCCAAAGACCTGGGGTGAAGAAGTAAACTTGGGGTGTCAACAGTGTTAGCCTGCAATTCACCGCAAGTCTTCACACCCGTGTCACCAGGCGTGCAAGAGAAACAATGGCGACCCGATTCACTGGTTTTGAGTGCGGAGAGAGGCGAAACCCCAGAGTGACGAACAATTTAGCTAACCCGAGCATCCATTAAGTGTGGATCCTTCGTTCCAGGCTGGGGCCACTTGAGCTCTAACCAATTTACCTTGACTGGTTGACCCCGAACTTCCGGCCTCCAACAATCAGGTGTCATAGTAATATCGAGCAAGCTGAGGTGCAAAGGCACACGACTAGTTGATCCTTTCGTTGATTTGTTTTTGGGCTCCAGCCCTTGCTATTTCTCACCACCTCCAGTTTCCGGCTGGAGGGGGGGTCCTGCTTTCGCTTGCTTTTTGCAAAGGCTAGCAAGCAAACCATGCGCCATGGGAGAAGCGAACATCTAGTGCGCCGCGCGGCAGGGGGTCCACAAAGCTACTGACCCGCAGCAGCAGCACAAAGGTCGTCGCCATGCCGAGGCCCAGCGCGTAGCAAAAGGCCGCCGCCATATTGGGCAGCAGGATCCCCTCCTCGTTTGACACCGGGAACCTGACGGCATGGCCGTGGATACGAGGAACTGGTCCGGAAGGGAGTGTTCAGGTCGTAAAACCTGAGGTTAAGACGGGAACGATAGTTTTTATAGGATGATTTGTTGGGACCCAATAGGGAATCATGAAATACTTAAACGGGACCTGAACAAGAGACGTTTTAGCTGACCCCTTGAATGTGATCTTACAAATTAAATGGCTTCCTTATCCTTATGCTTACCAGATGATCCTGCGCAAGCCTAGGCCCCGTTGGTTTTCCATAGCTCAGCTCGTTCCGCGAGCGAGCCATGTCAGTTAAGAGTACCGTCAAACGGGGTCATCTTCTGTTAGATACTGTTAGCTGCTGTGACACGATCTATCATTTCAAAATGCTGCCCTGTGCGGCATGTCCGCAACGCCAGGCTCACGGCACACTGGACGAAATGATTGCTTTTCAAAGGGCCGCGCAAAAAGCTGCCAAATGACTTGCCGAGTCGAACTAGAGGTCAAACCCTGTGTTATTTCTGGAAGAAAAGGCCCGCCGCAATGGACCCCCCCCGCGATGTTGGGTATGGGATTTAACCTTCGGCCCGCTTCTAGCTCGGAGGGCTGGGCTGAAAAGGAGTCAAGCCCCAAGGGCGTCCGCCGCGAGGCCACCCACCTCATCGATGGCGGACCCGTTGACAACCAAAAGCAGACTGATCCGAGCAATCCCCGGGACGCCTGGATGAAAAACGTGGGGCACCAACTAATATATGCCCATCCTACCCGGGAATTGTATGGCGAAGGGTCCTTGATTGGCCCTTCCCTCAAAAGCCCTAAAATGATTGCTTCCGAAGAGCGCGATTTGGGGCCTTTTCCCCGCAGAAAAGCCAGCACCACTCATGGGCTTCAAACCAACGCTGAAACTTTTGAGGACCACACTGAAACTCCAAACCCCCCTAACCCAGCCCGAGTCAGAACATGCGCTGCACCAGGGGGAAGGGGTGGGCCTGGATTCGGAGTTCTTGTCCAAAATCCGGACACCAAAAACAAACAGGCTTAGAACACAATTGCGTAAAGTTAACGCGGCACAACAAATGCAATGTTCAGATTCCGCTTCATATTTAGTCTACCCTAAAAAGCAAGTGGAGGCAACCATAACTTTTTTCTCCGACATTCGAGTGGCACGGTGGTGCTGAGCACCAGCGAGATCAGGAAGCTTACGGAAGAGAAGCCCAGCATTTTCTTCGCGAACTCGTCGTCCTCCAGGAAGCCCCAAGATCCTGCGATCGACAGCTGATGTACCTACTTTTGGATGGTGTTTGGTCAAAATATCCAGGTGTGCGGAATCTGATCCTGATGATTTATCATCATTAATGAGGAACTTGTGAAATATGAGCAACATAACTCCATTACAAACTAAACTGTAAACGATCTACCTTGTCAAGACCCCGCGAGCCACGAACTAAGCGAAAGTGCAGGGCTAACCTCAACCGTTGAGTCTTCCCCGGCATCCGAGGCAAACCAATGTTTGCAAGCCCTGCACAAACTTCTGAACAATCCGTCCCGCAGCTTCCTTCAGAAATGACATGCCAGCTCGCAGCCACCAATAGCACTCAAAAGCTCCAATCTCCAAGCCCCCCCACCAAGGGCAAGCAGGTTTCAATTAGCTCAAAAACCACAGCGCGTCCTTGTTCAATCTCCAGTAACCAAAGAACAACCGAAAATTTCGGCCACCCCAGCACTGGAACAAAGATTCATCTTGCGCAACCATGGCATAAGCCAGGGATCAAAAAAAATTGCTCGAGCAATTTGAAAGCAAACGCAACAGTGCGGCCCGAATACGCGGAAAGTCAAAAGCAAACCACCGGGTTACCCCAACGGGGGGCCTGCGTGGCCCAGTTGCAACCGCCGATCAGCTGAACAGCGGTTGGTACTTTTACGTACTGCGGCCGTCCCCACCACCAACTGGCGGCCAACAGGCGGGGCCGAGTGTCACTGAGGAAAGACTCAATCGCAAGCATAGCTCACTGAAAAGAACGGCGCGCCGTTTGCGTTTGTTAAAGCGGTGAGTTCGAGCATTGATTCAATCATTTCCTTCAGTGGCCGGAGCGGGCACCATTGCAGCCCCAGCCCGGGATTGGGTGGCTAACAGAGAACAAGAATCTCGCGCGCGTCGTCGCGTCTCTTTGCTAATTCCCCCCCTCTCTGCACTCATGATTCTATTCAGACACAATATGCTTACCGTGATTTTGCCCAAAGGGTATCTGACAAGCTCCCAGACAAAGAAAATGTTACACAGTCTGATCCTTGCGAGCTGTGAAGGCCATCGGCTGGCAGTGGCAAGCTCACCCCCATCAAGTTTCAAAGCTGGCTGAAGTCAACTTCCACTTGCTTCACCAAGTGTAAAGCCACAGCCTACCCAACTCCTGGAAAACCCCAACATCTTGACCAATGAGAAAGCACCAAAGCCTGTTCAAGAAACCACCAAACCCCGTCCAATCGGATCTTCTTGCACTCGCCGGTACTCCACGATGGGGTCATACGGCGTCTCTTGCCGCTTCTTCTTGGCTCGCAGCACCCTGCGTGCTCTCGCTGACCAGACCAGGCCGCACACGGTAGAGCACGCCGCTATTCGCCGGCCTGTGGCAAGGAAAGCCCTCACAGGCGTGAAAGCGTTTTGCTTTGGGCACGCGCTGGCAACAACGCTGGACTTCAAGACACCGCCACCAACCTATCAAGCCCCGCTAGGTGGGGAGGTTAGATTAGCGGTCGCAGGCTTCAAGCGCAGCGTTGGGGGTTTGGCGCCCGCTTGTTTTTTGGGGTTAGGAATCGCGGCTCGCTTGGTCCGGCTTGGGCAGGTTCGGGCTTGCGCCTCGGCCTGAGCGCTTGGACGCGGTCTGCGGTAGTAGGCGTGCGTTTGCGAGAAACATGTTCCCAGGCAGCAAGGCATCTTGGCTGCGTAGGCCCGCCGTCACCCGGTGCACCGACACTCACATCTTCCTAGTGTTTCTCCATGCACTTCATGGTGAGCAGGACCGCGAAATCTGAAAATGTCTACGTACGGCAGGGTCGAATGCGTCGTCAACGTCTTGTGTTTTGCTTTCTGGGCTTGATGGTTCCTTCTAATACCGCTTTTCAAGAGCTTGGTGCCTGCGGAAAAGGGGGGGTTCTGTTTGCTTCGGCTTGGCAGCTGGCTTCTGTCTGCGAATTTCTGAGCAGCACCCTAGCCATGTTTCCACCAACTCCAGGCTATTTGGGATTCCAATCTGCGTTTCCTGCAAAGCACTTGTGTGGATACCGGGTGTGTTGAAGTGTCCTTCTGGTTGCACTTGCTGCGTCTGGGGCCGCATGTTTGCGGGGTGTGCGCTTGCGCCCCTCAGTGGCCAAGTGTGTTCGGGGCTCGAGTTATTGGCAATCAAACAAGCCAATGCTCGAGGCTGTCCTTCGAGTGAAACCTCTTTGCAAAGAAGCTAGTCATACCAAGAGGGGTCAACTACAAAGTTGTTGGGGATAAAGCATCCAAAGCAAATCGCAGTTTGCGCATCGCCTGGCTGCCCCTGAGAATTGTGCCAATCCTTCACCAATAGTGTTGAAACCTAGCAAAAGCTCCTGATAATGTCCTACTTTTCGCGCAACCCCCAACCCCTTCACGAGCCTGAGGACAACCAGAACTCCAAGCTTGCGTGTTCTGTAGCAACAGTTAAGCTGTCTGAGAATGGCTTGTGCTTTCAGCTGTTTCCTCCTGAGGTTGCCCTGTGCTCTGGAGCCTTGCGGCAATATGTTTAGAACGAGCTTGAGAATGGTGGCTGGATTCAGAGTTTGACTTGAAACAGGGTGACTTGGATGATGTTAAGAGAATGAGGCCAGTCGAAGCTTGCTTGGCCAATAACATGTGTCACCGCACGGCTCAATGCCAAGCGGCGGTCGCGCGCACGCTCAGCGGCCCCTGCTGTTTCACATCGAGAACTTTGAGGCGAAAACACAATTAATGCATGCTTGAAGAGGCTGCGTGAGGGTGAGGGAGAAAGATATTGCACCGTGTCATAGACAGGATTTGCCCAAAACAGTATGGCTTTCAAGCTTGAATCCGAAAATCCAAACACAAATCGAGCATTGCCTGCCATTCCCCATGTCGCAAAGTGCAAGTTCGATGCATTCTGCTGGAACCCCAAGGGCCAAGCTTGTGCCTTGGTTGTTCTAGAGAACAGAGTATTTATAGTTGGGGTGGAGAAAGCCGTGCAACGCATGCTACTGAGTGCAACATGCCAGTCCACGAACAAACATGTTTTCCAGGGTAGGAAAACCGACAGCCCGCCCAACGCGCATCCCATCGAAAAGTACAAGGTTTCTGCCTGCTCCGGGCAAGCTTCGAACATCTCCAAGCCTACCAAAAGAGGTTCCGAGGGCAGAATGCCAGCGAACCGCTTCCTAGTGACAGCTCGTTAAAGCACAGAAACAGCAATTGCACAGTGCTGAAATGCCAAGCATTTCAGAGATTGAAAAGCCGACGGGGAAAAAACACAAACAAACAAAAAACAGACATCGTCACAACGGCAAGGGGGGGCGCGGGTCCATCGGTTTCATACTCGTTTTCCGTACGGAAGTGACATATTGACACACAAATCAATTGAGAACCAGTGTGAACCAAGGGAGCCCAGGATTTAACGTTGCCCTCCATCCGCAAACTTGACTAATCCGGGGTCGACAGTACCTCTTGCCCTATCTGGAAGAATGCGCCCAGTTGCCCGGTGCCGGCAGGAAAAGAACAACTTGCTGGCGCTCAGCAGGGAACTCAGGGGTACCCTGAAAGGAAGCCACAAGGGATGGTTGTTTTCGGGGTCATTCTATTTCTCATTCCCTACCTATCGCACCAGCAAGAAAAAGAAGGAGCAGGTGAGGAAATGAACCCAGAAGTCTCCTTAAAGGGAACCACAAGGATTTTTTGGGGGGTCATTCCATTTCTGGATTCGGGGACTCATGGAATGCGGCTGAAACATGGGCCTTGCAGCTGTCACAGACGCTTCTTTTCCCCCGCCTTGCCGCGCCAAGCTGCCTGCGGACTCGAAGCTGCCCCCTGGAAAGGATATCTAAAAAATACATAAACATATAAATGTATATATATATATATATATATATGGTCACCCCCCCCCCATCATCCACACCCCCATGTTGCAAACTAGAAAACATACCAAAAATGCAGGAAAAAACACTATATATATATATATATATAGATGGTCCCGTGTTCCGTGTTGCTACCCCCCTCCCCCCCATATGGTATGGGTCCCCCAGGACACCCCCCCCCCCCGCGGCCCGAGACCCCGAGCCCCCGGATCCTGGCACCTACGGTCCCACCCCCACCCCGACCCCCTGAACTCGCACCCCGACACCCCCACCCTCAGGACAAGCCAGCCCGCAACCAACCATAAACCAACCCTAAACCAACCCTAAACCAACCCTAAACTAACCCTAAATACACCCTAAATATACCCTAAACCAGTTCTAAACCAACCCTAAACCACCACAACCCAACCACAGGACCACAACCACAGGGGGGGGGGGTTTACTTGTCTGACCCATGACCATTGGTGGGGGGGGGGGGGCTGGCAACGCTGTACCATATATATATATATATCCAGTGGTGAAACGGATTCCCTTGAACACAAACAAAGGGAACATGCAACAAAACACATTGATTTCAGCAACTGGAAGGGGTGCACGCAAACATTTGGAGATACAGATTTCGCAATGAGTGGGCCACCATTGGGGGTTCATGTGCGAACTTACTCATATTCAGAAGCACCATGCATTTAGACATTGGGGTTTCGGGGTTTTGGGGATCAAGCGCGCAAGTAAATCTGTTCATCTCTCCATGTCTTCGAGATGCCCAGGACCAAAAACAAACTAAGCAAACTGCCCCTGCAAGTACTACAAGTGCCTAACTACTTCAATGGGGTTGTGGAGAACCAAACGTCCTGAGTTTAGGCACCCGGTTGCGACTGAGCCAAACCGACCGCCGAAATGCACAAAACTTCTGGCCACCTCTGGAGGGGTCGACCGCAAGCAAAGCCTCGGCCGGCAGGTCAATTCCGGCATCAACCTAGAAGGCTGTCTTCTCCAGTCAGGGGTCACTGGATTTCCCCTAAGGCTGAGACCCCTGAGTGGCATCATCCACGAGTCTGAAAGGGTACGTTCTTTCCTGGCTTGGCTGGCAAGGGCCAATAGTGGAAATCGCCAAACAGTGCTCCTCAACAGGATTTGGGGGAATAGTTTGCCTTTGAGCCGAAGCATATGGGCCTGAAACCGGATCATCCTGATAAGATCCCAAAATCGAATCCTTGGGATGGGTTCAACGAATTCTGCAAAACCTTCCGCAACACTGTGGGAACTTATGCCTCGTTGGATCCAAGGGTCCAAGCCAATTCCACTGAGCGGTTCAGAATGCTGGCTAGAAACAGCTATATCAATGTCGGGGCCTTGACAAAACGAAGAAGACTCCGTCCACCAAATTTGAAGTGAGATCAAGCTTCAGGCCTGCCTTGACTGCCAGCTCAACCAACAACCCTTTCAAACCTGTGACTATGGACCGAATTCTCTTCGCTTTGGGCAAGTGGGGCTCCCAATTCTGTAGCTCACTTCCGACTGATCCGACAAGTTCAGCTTTCCAAAAATATTCCAACCACAAAACGCAAGTCCAACAAAAACATGGGGGGGGGGGGGTGAGCTAATCCAAAGTTTGCGCTCGCGCCACCTTGGGCCAATGTCCTTCCGCAAAACGAAACGTCGCTGAGCCCTCCACCTTGGCCGGCCGAAGCTTCGAAGCGCAGCCAGGCCGCGCGGCCTGGCTTGGAGGCGAGTCAAACAAATGCAACCGGGGAACCAGAAACCGCCACCCGCCCAAAGGTGGAACCTCACAGGAACCCCCTGGAAGACGATATTGCTTTTGATGGGACCTGGAAGGTTCCTTGTGGGCAGGAGCCCTCCCAGAAACGAACAAAGCTCACAGACGGCTACTTGAAGGGGCGATCAGGTACGTCAGGTAAGTGGGTAACAACCATGCTTATAACACAAAAGCCACGACTATAAGTCTAAGGGGGTGAAAACATTACTAACCACTTACTAAATACCAGGTCTCCCCTTTAAGTAGAGGGAGGAACCCTTTTGGACATCATACCTTCGATGTTCCTGTCTTCTTGTCCAGAAAGCTTTGGGGTCTCCAAAAAGGAGCGGCGCCCAGCTGGAGAGTTCCAATTTTGGGCAAAATAGATACCCAAAATGGAACCCTGATAAATGGAAACATGGACTAAAACCTGAGGTCCCCGGTGGATTGATTTTGACCCACACCCAATTGGCTCGTTGGATCAGCCTAGCACAACTCGGCTCCGGCCTGAAGTGGCAGCCGAAGCGCCATCGCACAAGGCCACCTGGCGCCGCCAAAAAACGGACCGGATGAGCGCAAAATCAACCCCTGTCTATTCATAGGGCTCCCTGGGTTAAGTGTGGAATCATTACTTTTGGAGGGGGACAACCCCCTTTTAAAGGCGCCCTCAGGGTCCAAGTGCCTGCTAACGGCAGCAGCAACGGAACTGGTTAAACAAACAACAAAGCACGCACACAAACCCGCAAGCACACAAACCAACAACAAACACAAGCACACAAGCACACAAAGAATCGAACGGACGGACGGACGGACAGACCGACAGACAGACAAACAGCCAAACAAACAATCAAAAAACAAAACACACACACACAAGCATACAAACCACGCAAACAAACAAACTATCACACAAGAACGCACGAACGTTCGCAAGCACGCACGTAAGGCAAAGCAAAAAAAAAGAAGCAACGCAACATGCAAATCAAGATGCACAGCAAGCAGTGCAAATTCGATTCAACAAGCAAAGAAAAGCTAAGCAAGCAAAGCAACGCAGCACGCAAAGAACAAGCAAAGCAACAAGCAAAGCAACAAGCAAAGCAATAAGCAAAGCAACAAGCAAAGAAAAGCTAAGCAAGCAAAGCAACGCAGCACGCAAAGAACAAGCAAAGCAACAAGCAAAGCAACAAGCAAAGCAACAAGCAAAGCAACAAGCAAAGCAACAAGCAAAGCAATAAGCAAAGCAACAAGCAAAGCAACAAGCAAAGCAGCACGCAAAGCAACAAGCAAAGCAACAAGCAAAGCAAACAAGCAAAGCAACAAGCAAAGCAAAGCAATGCAAGGCAAAGCAATGCAAGGCAAGGCAATGCAAAGCAAATCAACAGGCAAATCAAGGCGACAAGCAACGCCAAGCAAAGCAATGTGAAACCAATTCGGGCAAAGCAATGCAAAACAATGCAAAGCAAACCAATGCAACGCGCAGCAAAGCAAAGAACGGCAAAAATACAAGCAAAGCATATCAACAAGCAAAGCAAAGCAACAAGCAAACCAAAAGCAAGGCAGAGCAAAGCAAGCAAAGGAAAACACGCAAAGCAACACAATGCAGGCAAAGCAAAGCAGCAAGCAAAAGCAAAGCAAAGCAAAAAGCAAAGCAAAGCAATGCAAAGCAGGAATGCAATGCAAAGAAAGCAATGCAAAACAAGCAATGCAAAGCAAGCAAAGCAAAGCAAAGCAAAGCAAAGCAATGAAAGCAAAGCAAGCAAAGCAGGCAATGCAAGCGCACAGGTACTCAAGAAAAGCACAGAAAACAATGAATCAGTACCTCTGCCGCCCGCCTGACCCAAGCCCGGCCCGGCCACGCTTAAGCCGCAAAAGCGGCCATTGGTCCCAAGGCGAGCCCGAAGTGGAGCTGGGCGTTGAGGCTGTCCTTTTTCTCGTTTCCGATCGAGGGATTGGCCAAAACAAGTAACCCAACTTTTTGTTACCTCTAAAATGCTCTGGCGCGAGGCTGCGAGGGGAAGTCAAAGGAATTAATGATTTGACCTCACCAGTACCAACATCAACTAAGTTACTATTCCAGTGTCATTGCCTCAGATCCAAGTGTCCATTATTATCCTGCATCTTGCATGGTGCTCTGCATTTTGTAGTAACACATGGCTGCATTGTTTAAAGACTCATAATGACTATGACGTGCTTAAGACCCCTTGAGTAGGGCTGAAAGCAACTTTAGCACAACCCCTTTGGATTTGATAATCATTTGAAGCATCGGGGCAGCCTTGAATGCTAAAAAGACCGGCAAGTGGCCTACACAGGGCCTGGCATTGCTGATCTGCTCACTTCCCCGAAAGCAAGACAACTTGGCGCTAAGGGATGTGACGATGAATCCAACTACGACGAACAAAACGCATGATGAGCACTTGGCCAACGTTCAGCCCATACAACCGGCTGCATCTCAGAGAAGTAATCGAGCCCATAAAGAAGTCATGGACAAAACTCAATTATTGTCAAAAATAGTTCACCCTGGTTTTTGTGGGGAAACTTCGTGAGTCCCCCATGTGCCTCTCAAATGGACCATAGACTACTGGTAAGTGTGACCGAACCTCGTATAAGTTGGTACCACAAGAGTTGTTTCCCTCGGTCCTCACCCGCACTTTTTGAAACGCAATGTGCCGCGCGAAGGCTGAAGGTTTTTCTCAGCCTGAATTAGGCCATAGGCAATGCAAAGGTGAGAGCTAACACTTGCAGCAAATGGATGGTGTGTGTGCCTGTGTCAGTACATGATCTTGTCCGGGGTTGTGTTTAGCTCTTTGAATTAAAGGGCTCCGTATCTTTTTCTTAGCCCGAACACCTAGAGGAACTTCTCTAAAAGTTGCTCCTAAAATGTGATAGTTCAACGAGCCATGGGGACCCCTGTCAAGAAAGCAAAGGTCTGGTCTAGTGGACACACACTGACCCGTCCAATGCCGCCCGCCAGTGTACAAGTTGCCCTTCCCAGGGATGTCCATTTGTAGATTCGCCTTGCTCAAACAGGTGGTTTCCGTTGAAGCAATCGCCACTTTTGGAAAGTCCGAAAAGGAACATGGCTCGGAACCCCTGCGAAAAGATTGGCATCCAAGAGAAGAAATCCAAGAAATTCTGCAACTGGGTTGCTCTCTGCGCCAAGCATGACATATGAGTTACAGCCAAAACCTTGCACAAAAATAGCCAGGGTGGCCGCATTGTTGGTTGGAACAGCCCCCTTCGCAACTACCCGGGCTTTGTGTACAGCTCATGCGTTTGTTTTGCCAGTTCGAGGGAAACATGCACATTTTCAAGCTAAACATCACCGCACCAACGGGAAACACAACTGGGCCCCAAAGGTGATGTTCAAACCAGGAGCCCTAATTCAACCATGGCCAAAAGGCCAGGTAGCTTAACAAACATACTGGTTTGAATTGTTTACGGGGGTTGGCGGTTTAAACACGTTTATATAAGGGAAAATCCAAAGGGGTGTATAGGAAGCTCTGTTCTACGGCAGTCGAGAAAGGACACCCCCTCCAAGGTGACCGGTTTCATGCCAACCTTGGCAGCGAACTCCAGAGGAACACCTCCCCCCGCCCCTCGCTTCCGTATTTTGAAGCCCTTCAGATTGATTCTGGGGAACTGCAATCACCAAAGTGGATTAAGGCTTCAGGCGGCCCGCAAATGACCTTCCTCATGGGTGAGCTCCTTTTGCCCCGGAATCAGTTGGGGCAGTTGGTAGCATCACTGTGTGCCCTTTTCGGCGGCACAACTGTATGGCGTAAAGGCCAAGAGGAAACCGGCACTTTTGCGAGCTCGGATGTGCGATTCGTTGGTTGGCCACCTGAAGCAAAACCACTAGTAAGGATGACTCCATCGAACGGGGGGCTTAGAAGTGGGTTGTAAATTTGGTTTACGCAGCGAGGAGCTTCGCCTGGAGCATTCCGACTGAACTTTGGCTGGGACATGGGCGATTTGCAGCAGGCCACCTGCGACAAGGAAGGCTCGTAGCGACTTGCGACGCCGAATGCCTTTTTTTTTGTGGTATTGTAGGGAATGAAACCAAAGGCATCCAAGAATGGGCATTTCGGAAGAGATGTGGCATTTAGCAGGTGAAGAACGGAAAGGCTCGGCAACAGTGGTTTGCGGAGAAACACGATGTCGCCTTTCAAATGGAATCTGTTGAACAAGTTCCGAGTTTGGGATGTTTACCACTAAAGCTATATTCCCAAACTATTGGAAGTCGTTCAACTGGTGTCTTGGGAAGGAGGGAACAATAGGAAGGCAGGTATGCCGACCTCTGCCTGCATGCCACACATCACATGGGTCCACAGAGCAACATAGGCGTCTTGGCGTCAGACACCATGGCAGCAACCAGACAACCAAGCCATGGAACCGTTCAAGTTGTTTGCAACACAAACAAGCATGCTCACCGTCTGAGTGGGGTGGACAAACAAAGTCCAAGCTATTCATTTGCCACCAAATGCGTCTTCCAAGACAAGAAGGGAAGAACAGGCAATCAGGGAGTGAGTTGCACTTTGAACAAGCATACTATGCGCGGACAAGAGCTGCAAAGAACCGCTTCCCACAAAGGGCCTCCCGGGGTCCTTTCAAATTGAAGTCCTTTCAAAACATACATCCGCTCTATAGGGGAGCGGGGTGGAGGGAGGTTCCCCAATTGCCTGCTTCTAGTTTTCCGTACAAAAAGGAAGTGGAACTACAAATGCAATTCAGAGGCCACCTCCCTCTCCAACTCCATTTTTCTGTGGGCGGGGATAAGCATACACCTGCTCAGAGTTTCGCGTCTCCAGAGCAAACTATGTTGGTGAGACAAACCAACAGTTTTTTTCCCCACCAACAGGCCGGTCGTTAAACAAAACAACACTCACAATGACAAGTATGGTTTTATGTCAAAAAAGGGGAATGTTCAAATTGATGGCGTTCATTATGGTGTCCCTTCAAACAGCAAAGGGCCTTCAACAAACACAACCGCATGTATATATCTATATATGTTATAGCGTCCGGCCAACCAGCATCCAAGCGTGGGGCTGCTTGGACAAGCAGGTGGTGAATCAAAGGCGGGGACAACGTAGTCAATGCGAAGCAGTTGAAGCGTTTTGCTTTGGACTTTCGGCTCGGGAAGTCCAGCTCAGGCGCGTCTTCCCTGGTCGGAGAAGTCACAAACCCAGGCCAACGCGATGCTTCCAGTGGTGGATCTCCAAGGGGCTGGTTGGAGCGGTGGTTTCGCATCCCAAGTTCACACCAAGCCAAGGCACCAATGACAAGCTCCAGTTCAAACACATGTTTAGTTCTTGTTCAAGGGAAACCCACCCCAGCAAAAGTCCGAGAACACTTCAAAGCAGAAAACATGACAGAATCTCTATCGGATGTGAATCTTTGATGGGGGCCATTTGATGGACACCGACCACATGGGCATATATGTGCAGCGAGTTGGGTCATCCCCATTAAGCAAACAAAATACACGGCCTTTTGCAAAAAATGGCAAGTGAGGAAACACGGTGCAGGTTCCCTATCTCCTCTTTAAACATGGCACCCGAGGAAGCTACCCAAACTCCGCCCAGGGGAAAGGAATCGGGAGCACTGCAGTGGTATACTTGGAAAGGTTCTCAGGACCCGTAAGAAGCTGAGTTGCTCCAAGCGCTGCGAAGGTTTTGATGGAAAAACCATTGGTTTCCAAAAGGTCTTTGGTTGGCCCCATCTTGGCAATACTGGCTTACCCCCCTCCCCCCCAAAGAAAACGAACGATAAAATCATAAATAACCTACTAAAAACATCCGCGGTGGGGGGGGTTCTCCTGGTATATACTCCAGAAATCCCCAGCCCAAAATGCACTTTCTTCCTGCCTCCTACCTTCTGAAGCAGCGCATCCGGTGGGCAAACTTTGTGATACCCTACACCCCCTTGCGAGTTGTTTCGCCGCCCCGCAAAACGTACGAGCTTCGGCCTGAGCTTCCGAACTCACTCGGGCTTGCCGCCTTGGACTGAGGGGGGGCCAGGCCTTTTTAACCCCTTAGCAGCTCTGTACGTGGTTAGTAAGCCTAGTTATTTCCCACTTAGAAGAATTGTAAGCATGGTAAGTGGGTTGTGACCATGGCTATCAATTACCCACTTACTAGGTACCCTGCCCCTTTAAGTAGGCTTCTCCAAAAGACCCCCCCCCTATAGACGCCCCCAGGATTCATACTGAATTCATACCCCCCGCCTGCAAATTGACATGGAGGGGGTTCCCTCAAAAGAGATTCCTCCACAAATTGCTTGTGGGGTTCCATGCTGATCGTCAGCGACGCTCAACATCGGGGGGGAGTGTCCCAGCTATGACACATGACTGAGATTTAGTAGCAAGGACAATTAGTAAGTGCTCAAATACGTGAAGAAATAACAAAGCAAACCAAACCATCACCTTTGTTCTCTTTGCGCATGTTAGCAAGGGTGGGTATAAGGAAATCCTTCACTTTCAGGGGATTCACTCCCAAAGCAACCGTCATCATGAGTGTGGTCGCAACACCCTCATTTTACAGAACCCCCTCCAAAAGGACTTGCAGCTTCCCGTCAACAGGTGCAGTTGGATTTGCAGTTTGGAGGTCGGGGGTTGTCCATTTCTCCCCCTACAAGAGCCAGACTCCGAGCCACCACTCCGCAGCAACCGAAATGGATCTGGTCGCACAAGCCCTCACTGTTGCCAGTTCAGCTCCCAAAAACACTGGCGCCTGCCAAGCTTCAAACCGGATCTGTCACAAGCCTGGTCATGTCGGCCTCTGATTAACATCGCCCCCCCAAGTGTCGTTGAGAGGGCCTAATTAGTACTTAAAGGGGCAGGGTACTTGGTGAGTGGTTAGAAAGCCTGGTTGTGACCCACATTGTCAGAGGCACCCTGAGTGGGCTATGACCAGGCTTACTAATAACATACGAAGTACCCTGACCCCTTTAAGAAGGGATTCCTTTCTCCCAGGGGAAGCCCCTGGCACAATAATTGGGTATAACTCCGCAATCCATGGTGAAGAACGAAAAGGCAAGACAAGCGACACCTAAATATACTTGGGACGATCTGCTCCTAAGCTTCATTAGCTCAGGTGTTGACGCTGGTTAACTAGGTGCATTTACGTGAACTCATTCCTATATTTCACCAACCTGAACTACGAGAAGGGACCGGCATCACGGACAAGCTCGATTTACCTCGAGGTGAACTTGAACTTGGTATGACTAGTGCAAATCTATCGGAGGGAAACATTTCTCACCTGCTCACACATCTGAAATAAGGAGCTCCCAAGAAAGGAACTACATCATGGTGCACGAGATTGCAAACTCAAATAGATTGTAATTTGGTCCATCCCAGTACCTCTGACCCCGACCAAAGTCACATGCTTGATGGTCCATATTAAGTGAGCCTAAAAAAACTGAAATTGGCTCCAAGCAAAAAAACCGTTCATGTTGTTTTTTGCCGATTCTCCAAAGGTGGGCTACCCTATCCCAGTGGATCCCAGGCAAGCCCTTGTGGCAGATAACCAGCAACTCGTTTTTCGGTGGTTCCCTTTGCAGATGGATGCACTGGGTACAGTAAGGAGCCCCTAGACGCTTGTTTTGTGGAACCAAAGTTGTTAAGGCTAAATCGCTGCAGATGCTAGGAGTGAACGCTAGCTTCGGAGGGTTCGCGACGCGTCCTGTCCTTCAGAGACAACCCGAAACCATAGAAGCTTTACGCGTGTTCCTTGTTCAACACGAGTCTCATAAGCGCATCCCACATGCAATATACAAACCTGAAGGCAAAACTCCGCTGTATTTGCCTGTCGCGCACGGCTTTGTCGATGTGCCCCCTGCCAAGAGAAGGGCGCTCCGTGTATATTGGAAAAAGCACATTAAGCTCGGGCGAGCTTGGCCGCCGGCGGAATAGTCCTGGTGTGCTTCCAACCACTTGTCCTTTCTTGTAGATGACTATCTTCAAAGCCCCGTGAAAAGCAGATGTCCTCTCCAGTTCATGAAGTGACTCACCTCGCCACGATGGTTTGGTATGGACTGACTCGATGGCCGATAGAGGCATCCTCCTTTGCAATTAATTCACGTTCAGATGCTCAGATTCGGGATTATTTCGCAAGGGCTTGGAATCCGGGACGGAATCAGAATGACATCAGCACTCTAGGGTGTCCGCTCGGATGACGTTGCTCGTCATGTGGCCATGTTTGCACTACATCGGCATGGAGCTATGTTTGGTACCACAGCACTTCCCGGTGTATTTGGGGAATGTGTTATCCTTGCCATGGCATATCATGCAATGCCAGATGGCCTGCTACATTCGACCCGGCCCAACAACCGAGGCATTGGGCGGCCGTGGCGGCCGGCAGGGCCATATCCGATATCTTGCTTTGGCCACTTCTCTGTGGGCTTTTTATGAGGTTGCACATGTATTTGTTTGCGATGCATCGGCATGATGCCCAGCTTTATACGGTGCCACTTTCTGGCTTCACTATGGGAGTGGCTTATCCATGGACGAGCATGGGATGCCTCAGCATGTTTCACTTGGAATTCACAGGTATTTCTCAGATGCCGGTGTCACCTGAGTCACATTTGCCCGGCAACCAAAGGTGCCGCTTTGCGTTCTGAGATGTTTGGGTCGTTCCTCTTTGGCCGGTCGTCCCACCCCGTTGCTCCCCTGGTGTTTTTGGGCTCGGTTTGGTTTTGTGTTGTGGTGTCTGCTTCCTTGTTTCTTGTTTGATGTTTGACGGGGGTCGGGACGGACGAGAACCTTTCTATCTGTAAATCCGACTTTGGTCGGTTCGACGGCGCAACAATGGTTGCGCCTGTTTTGCTGGCGGGAACCAGACTTCGGTCGTGGCCCGTCCAGCGCGAAGCTCGGGGTCCGCAAATCTGTGTGAGTGAAAGCGTGGTTTCGCGCATGTGCCCGAATGAGTCAGGGCCGGGACCGAAGTCGAAGTCCGTCTTCTTCACAATCAGGTCTTTGGCCTGACGCAATGTCAGGGGCCGATCCAGGGTTTCGTGTTCCCCCAGGTAGTGATCCTAACATCACCTTTTGGGCCAATTCAAAGCTAAGTTTCCTTTTCGGTGGGGCGGTGTTTTCAGGGATATGGAGAAAAGGGGCTACGACATCCTTGGCTCAGTGGAGCTCGGCTTCGAATAGATAAGCCAAGGGAAGTCTGCAACCGCTTGGAGGTGACTCACGTTTCCCCAAAATAAGACCCATTTGCCCTGGTTTTTAGAACCCCCCCGTTCGACCTCTCAAAACGCACCCAAGGACCCCAAAAATCCAAACCTCCCTCAAAATCAGACTTGCGACTTGCGACCTGACCAAATTGCTGAACCCTGGGTATTCATGGGTAGTGAAAGCCGCCCGCGCCCAAGCTCCCCATTCGCCTTTGGCCCGTAGAAGTCCAAGGTCGCGCTGCACCACGCCTACATCGCGATCCGAGATGCGCTGGGAGAGGATTTGGGACCGGTTAAGCCCCCCGCATTAACCGATGACACCCATCCCTATAGAGTGGAGATCTTCAACATGATGATTTGTTCAAGGTTCCACATTCATCTGGGACCTCACCGGCTGAGAACCTGGAACAAAACACCTGGAGACAAGAGGTGATCACCTTGAGACCTTGGCCAAACATGAATTATCAAACTTGATGACCTCACTTGTCTGACCTAGTGTTAGATGTTGACCTTGTTTCACTTGCTTTTGGAACCAAACAAATCGGTGCCTTTGACAACACCTTGGGACCCTGACTAAACATTCCTGACAAAAAGAAGGTCGGCTTTGAACGAGTAAGTTAAAGAACTAAAAAAAAAACGATCAGCTGTGGCAACCTCGCCACATAAGCCCGCACCGCCATGTTCACCCATCTACTGGCCACTGTGGCAATTTGGGCGCTGAAACCCTCCGCGCGGGCTGCGGGCATTCCTGTCATAGCCCTCCATGCCCTTGCTAGCTGCTTCTCGGTAGGGAGTCATTGTGGAGCGGGGCCAACCATGTGACAATGTGGATGCTTCAGATCGGAATCGGTCGGTGCAACTCACGGCCTGTTGCCGAGGTCGTTGCTACCGTGTACACCTCTCCTATGGGATGTGCATCTGCCGGCAAATGGGAATGGAGCTGCAAGCGTGCGTGGCATCCTCAAAAAACAAGGCCTACCGCAACCGTCATGACCGTCAAAACCCCACAGGGCTCTTAGAGTACCCATGTGTCAAAACAAGTTGCCTGCAAACTTGGCCCCCTGCGGTGCTGTGGTCGCCACCTGAAACCACCGCCTGCACAGAAGCGCTGCTTTCCCCCCGAAAAGAGGGGCCTGTTCAGTCCTTCCCTCATTTCGATCACAAAGAATCATACTGTGGATGGGCGAGATCCATTTCGCACCACCTAAGAAACCCTCGAATGATTCACTTCCCCAACGCAAATACCAACTAACGTCACGATTTCATTTCGTGCTGCGAGCGGATTTCACGACCATCCACAGTATGTTCACATTCAGTGCCATGTCTACCCGACACTGGAAATACAACATGGCTTTGCAGAAGTTTACCAGCCCGCTTGCAATCTCTCTGCATCTTGTGGGTTGTTTTTGTGCGCTTTTTCCTACGGCATACCGGTATACCCGTCCGAGGCTTTGTAAGGAACGCCAACACGAAAAACGCCGCCTTTGTACGGTCCCCCGATTTTGACAAATATTGGTTTGAAACGGAATTGTTGGTTCGACATGTTGGTGCTCCCGTGCGACTCTTGACTCAGCTCCCTCTATGTCAGAAAAAGGTTGTGGGCATTGATCGCGGCCTCTGCGACCCACAGTGATACCTCCTGAGTAGTTTTGTGTTTCGCCCGGAGTCAGATTCATTGTCGGAACAATCCCCAGTGTAATAGCAATAGTTCATTTCACTCAGAAACGTGACTATATTCTTGAAACAAAAGCTGGACCAAAGTGGCAAAGTGACCTACGTTGGGCTATGGCGTCCATTGGGGCCTGGCAGATTGCTTTTTTGCAGGTTGGACCAACCCGGCTATCCGCAGTAGCTACGGGGAACAAAGGGGCACCCCTTTGTCCTGGCTGACTCCCAAAACGGTAACTTCCTCCCGCGAAACAAAGGAAAACAGGAATGGCTCACTGGAGGGGATGGGTAGCCACATGGTCAGCATTGCTTGCAAGGATTTACAAAGTGTCCACGGAGCAAAGCTAAGCGCCTGGTGAAAAACCCGACCAAAACAATCTAAGCCCGCGCTTGCTGATAGTCGAGTTTTAAGGAGACGACCCTCTTCCAACAAAAACGGAAAAAGGACCCCCAGTGGAGGTCTGAGTGCCTTCCCGCTATATCCCTGAAAGCAGCCAACTTTGGTCCTTTAGACTCGCGCAACCGCGCCTCTCCGATCACCTTTTGCAGGTCATCTCCCAGACTGAAGGCCTACCGAGAACCCTCAAACCGAATCTCTGAAGGTTGCTCCGAAAGCTTGCTGAGCATGGTCTTGCGCAAAGGCTTCTCGGAACTATTTCTGTGCCTTAGAGTAGCTCATCTTCCTGGGTTGGGTACAAACCGTTTGGGCCAAAATCGATGGTGTTCCATCTCACCGAACAAGGGTAAAACTTTTGGCCACCGGCCAAGAAAAAAACCAAAGAAACCAAACGGGCGTGCATCTTGTTTTGAGGGTACCCGTTTTGGATGAGTTTAGATGGAAACCAAAAGGAAAGCTTCCGTTTTGGACCGGGGGGGTCCCCTAAGGAAAAGACACGCCCTGGGTGCGGATGTTTGACGGGTCCCTATTGACACATTTTAGGTTGGAAATCATTGATGTCCACCAACAAATTTTGAGGTCGTTCCCAACTAAAATAACAATAATAACAATAATAGTAATAATAATAATAATACATATCCCTCTTGTGCTTTGGTCTAGGGGAAGTCCTTGATTGGCCAGACAGGTCTGACCTACAAAAAGTGAACATTTGATGAAGGAAACAAATACTGGAATCATTTATTGCCCCGCTGCTGATCAAAGGGCTACTCATCACACAAGCTGCTGCATTGCAAAACATACAGGAAATAAACATTCATTCAGAAACATTGTGCCACATTGGTTCATTCCAAATCCTGGAAGTGGGAGCGCTGGCTGAGCTGGCTGGCCCAGACTTTCTCAGCGCGCTCTGGGGTATTTGGAGGGGCAGGGTACTTAGTAAATGGGTAATAACCCTGGTTATGGCCACTTACCACGGCTATAAGTCTCCTAAGTGGGTTGTAACCATGGTTATTTCCCACTTACCAAGTACCCTGCCCTTTCAGCAGTGGGACAGCATGGCGGACTTCGTGAAAGCTGCTGCCCCTATTCCGTTTGGCTGCCTAAATGGAAATAGAATTGGAATTCCACCCTCAGCCGTTTCGAACAAAATCGAACAAGTAAGTTGAAGGGAGGAGGGTCTCAAGCACTGAAAATTTGATCAAACAAACAACTCTTCATGTTTTCCAGAGGATCTTGGTGACATCCCCCCCTCTAATTGATAGGGACAATTGGGTGTCGGGAAGGAGACAAAATATGCAATTCTCATGGTTTCCCTTGGTGTGTAACAAGGCAACCCTGTATAACAAGGGCGCCCTCATTTTCCGTAAGAGGTGCGGATTTGTTGAACTCCGCAAGCCATGACCCTGTTGGTTGGGCGGCCCCCGTGTCTGGAACAAGGTTTCAGCGGAAACATTGACCCAGCCAGCTCAGTGTTGGGAACATTGGGGGTTTGATCAGCTTCTGTGGTTTCCTTGGCCCTGCGACATGGTTCACGACCCAAACCTCCAGTGATGCCCTGGCTTCCTTGTTCAAAGAGACCTGTGGGTGTGGCTCAAAATTTATCAGCTAAGGTTTTAGTCATTGATTCCATACATCAAGGTGCCATTTTGGGTCTCGTTTTTGAGCCACGGCCATTTCCCGGCGAACCCGCTCCGCCCCAAAACGGGTTGGATGGCCCGGACAGGTCCGAGTGGGAAGAGCCGCCCGCTCCTGGCCAGAGGTCTCCTTGAACTTCTGCAGGACGCCCTGGGCGGTGGGCACCACTGGCTGCGGGGGATTCTTGGAGGTTTGCATGGACGAGATCCATTTCGCACCGCTTTGAAACCAGAAGAAACCCTTGCTGCTTGGCATTTACACGCGAATTCTCACTTCAGGGCTTCAGGTGGTGCAGGATTTCGTCCATCCACAGTACGTATAGAGATGTTCATGCCAAAGGGCAGTTCTGGGCCAGACTTGCTGAATTCTGCGGATGGAACTAAGGAGACTGCAGGCAAGGATGTTCGCAAAAGGGCATTAGATCCCAACGTAACATCAACTAACTTCACATTACTTGTGGACTATAGCTACTTAACAGCTAAACCGAATGACTTCCATGACTTCCCTACTAAAGGCGGGGAGGCCTTCCTTTTTGATTAGCATGGCCTTCGTTTGTGGCAACCAGTTAGCCTCAGATTCGAATACGCGGTCATGCGGCTAAATCTGACACGATCACTCTGAACAACTTGGACATCAACAACTGCACCAGGGTGCAAGTAGATGGCACGATTCTCATGTTGGTAAGCAAAGGGGATGACTAACCAACATGGGCGGGATTCCGCCATCTAGTTACTTTTCCCCACTTTCGCCTTTGAGGCATCAAAACTATGAGAGTAATTGGGGACGAAACTCGCTGCTTGCCGTTACAGACATGATGAGGACTTCTACCAGCAAACATGTAGGGCTTATTTTGGATGCTGCACATGTGGATTCCCCGCTTGAAAAGTGCTAAAAGAGGGCAACAACCGGTGGAAGCTACAGTTGGCGCATCTAAAATGTAGATTCGAAAAATAATCAAGCTTGTCAGCACGGCCGGGTCACTTACCACCTAGGGGGCAGGTTGTGAGGATCTCGAAATTGAAAAACCCAGTTGCCCAACGTTCCTGGTGCAAAAGGCTTTTGTCCTAGTTGCTCAATAATTAGATTTCACACAACACACTGAGCAAATTACAACGCCACAAACACATGGGGGTAAAGCGAGTCGAAGCCGATGGTGAAGGTATCCAACGTGGGGGATTCCTTATGCCTCCGTTTCTGAATCAGAGTGATTTGCCAAACACAAGTTGAAGCCAAAGAAGGGGACACTCTCCGAATTATGTCAAGTTTCCTTGGCTTAAACACGATCCGCCCACGGTTTGCGGTCTCATCTTTTATGTCAAATCGAAACCACAAGTCCCGTTCCAGAGCATCTCAGCAACATGCACAGTATGAACGGATTTCTCCTCTCCCTGGCTCAGGCCCGGAGAAACAGCCCGAACACTCGCGGGTGCCCACAGGAGCCAGTGATCCTGTTCAACTGTTCGGGTCTTTGGCAACGTCAAAGCTTTTTTTGGGGGTGCGTCAAATCTGGCAATACTAAATGAAGCACTGGGAATCTGAGAATAAGTTTTGGCAATACTACATTTAGATCACTAGACTAGGCAATACTAATCCAAGCATTGGGAATCTGAGAGTAAGTCCTGACAATACTAAATTAGCCTAGTGCTGGCAATGCTAAACTAGGCATTGGCAATACTGAAGCAATACTTGGGTCATCCGAGCTCCCTCCCAACCTGCAGACAGGACCCCCGAACACTGCTTTGACTGTTCTGAGGGTCCCCCCCGAATAAACAAGGTGCAACAGTAACCACCTTCCTGTTTGCGGGCTGACCCAGTTGTTCATTGGCACCCTTGAGATCCTGTTCTTTTTGTGCGCTCGGACTCACCAAAATCGTCAAATTCCCAAGGAAGAAAATAAGGAAATCCGAAGTAAAAGAACGTACATCCCAGATGGTCGCTCGTTTTACCCTCGAATCGGGGGAAGCTAATCCCTAGCTGTCGGGACTTTCGCTCGCTCTGGGTGGGCCGGGCGGAGCCGTTGGCCGAGCTGGCAGTGTACAGAAGGTCGAACTCCTTGCCAGCGCTGACGCTGTTCTCCTGGCAGGGAATCGACAGTGTCGTAGTCCGACCTGGAGTCTCTATGACCGGGGTCATTACCCCAAAAATGGGGGTAATCGGCCCATTTTACAGGGTCATGGAGACTCCAGGTAGTTTCCTCCCTTAAACGGCCTGCACACCGGACAACTCAGAGCTCGCCCTGGTCACCCGTTCGAAGCTTTGCGCTGCAATTGGTTTCGGAAGAAGAACAAAAAAAGGCGCCGCTTCGGGGCATCTTCTCCCTTCAACACCTGGAGTCCCAATTTGCAAACGCACCCAATTTGGCGAAGCCTATTTTGAGGGATACGTGGAAGCTTTCCAAGGCAAGGGGAAAACAAACGCAGTACTGAGCAACTCAACATAACTGCCTAGCCAAGGTTTTGCTTGAGGCTCCAAGCGAGATTCATAGGAGGGTACTCCCAGGAAAGGACCAAAGGCGACACTAAGCAGCTACGAACGCAGGCTCATTGCTCCCATGCGAATCCTTTAGGAACCTGGTGCTTCCAGTGGCCGTAGTAGAATGATCAGGGGAACCCATGACGTAAAATCCAGGTAAAAATATGGCCATGGGTCAAAAGCCCGTATTTCCAGTGAACATCCCAATCCCCACTGAAATAGACGAACATGGGTGTGTACCTACCCCAAAATGGTACCATTGGTTTTGACCCACAGCCATATCTGGTTGCCTAGCTGGAGGTGAAGAGGCACGAAGCCAGAAGCTCGACCAGTTCCCGCGCCTGTACGCCAACCACTTCCACCTTCAGCCCCAGCTTCGATTGGAACCAGGAGGTCACGGCAGAGCCCACCTGGACCGAAAAAAAACAAACGCGAGTTCCGCGCTGGGAATGGGGCGGAGTTCTCAAAATGGTGGACACTTCCGTGATTTCGGCTCGCTGGGTGAACCGATGGAGTTTATGTGGGTGATTGTTTTCCACTAAAAAGCGTTCGTTCTCTTTTGGAGTCCCAAACACGCCCAAAGATAGCAAACAACTTCCCTTTTTGAAGGCCCCCCCGCGAAACATGAACAGAACCAAAACAAACAAAAACCTAAAAACCTGCCAACAACAGCTGAAGGTACATCTCTAAATTTGTCTTCGAGGGCCCCCCCCTTCGAGGAACTTGATTTGGACCACCAAAAAGGCTCAAAAGGGGGAAAGCATGAAACACATGACGAAACATTTGGTCTAGCGTTGCTTGGGCATTGTGACTTCTGGCCCGGCTTGGGGTTGGACATCCTCGCAACCGCGCCTGTGACTTTGCTTCCCGACCAGCCAATAGTCAGATTCCCTGTGAAATAGCTACAAAAAAAAAGCCCGGATGGCATCCCCAACAGCCCCGGCCACTGGAACCCTCCGAAACCCTCCTGAAAGCTTCCCAAACCGGGACAAATACATTCCCAAAAGGGAACGACCGAACTCTTTCAGGGGCAACATGGGTATTTCCCCACGAAATCGGGGTTTCGGGAAACCAGAAAGAAATGAGGCATTCAAAAGCAAGCTTCTGAAACATTCCGCCAGCACGAAGTGAAGAAGAAACTGGGCGGCGGAAGCGCTCACAGTAAGACAGTCCTTGCAAATCCCGGGGGTAGCTTAGTCTCATTGACCACCTTCAAATTAGACATCTTGAACAACAATTAAGCACCAAGCATTTCTGGTGAATCTTCTTGGGGAACCCACTTGGTTGTCTGCGCTGGCTTTCTTGCAGTTGAAATCCAGGGTGGGGCGGGGAGCTCAACCATGGGCGGCCCAGCCAGAATCGAAAATGGTTCCTGACGACTGAACGCCCGTGACCCGCCTTGTCACGGAGCCCTGGTTTGACGCTCTCCCCGGTGACCTTGCGCAAGGGCAAACCCTGGAGATCCATTTGCTCACTTCCCATCGGGTGGCCAAGGCGCCAAAAGCAACCGTGAACTTTCTTGTACATATGGCGCCCCAGCCAGTAACAAGTCCAGAAACTTGTGAAGCGAGCTTCAAACCAACACGGTCTTGTGAGGCAAAAAGTCCCGCAACTCACATCAGAAGCTCATTGAAAACGCGCCGTTCTACAGTGCCCAAAGTTGCTGGAGAGGGATTCGTCCTTGTTTAGTGAGTCCTCGAAAAAGGGACACATCCAGGTTCTACTTTTCCACCCCAAGATAGACTCAAACCCCAGAAATTATCCTTTTGGGGGGAATGAACCACCCCTGGGTTTAAGTCTACCCTGTAGCCCAAGAAGTAGAACCCTAGGACACATAACATGAGGACCCTACCAATCCGATTTCCAAGGTTTTGGCGCTGAAGATGCACTTGCCCTGCACATTGGCCGGGATGTTGGGCTCGAGTTCCTCCTCGGGCCTCAGCATAAGAGAGAATCCCAAGCAACCAGCCCCTGACCCCCCCCCCCACTGTCAAGGATTCAGAGACATAGTGTGGATGGTCCATGGGTTCAAAGTGGTGCCGGAGTTCGTCCATCCACAGTAAACCACGAAAGGGTTGTAGCGCTTCGTGTCGTGTCTTCAACGGCGACTTGTGTGGCATCCTGGAATGAAGGGGCTGCAGAAAGAATTCCAAAGGAAGCCGCGTGTTCAACTGCCAGCCTCTGGCCCAAGAATCAGCGGGCCTCTCATGGTGGTTTGGAGGTTGGGGGCGGCTACCCCCGAAAAGAACATCCACACCACTAATCCAAACCACCCTCTAAGGGTAATATGAGTGCGGCTCAAAATCGAACAGCTGGGGCAAATCGATCGCTAAGTTTCCTTGTTCCACACCAGGTGCCATGTTGGGGAGTCCATTTTTGAGCAGCCACAAACCAACGAAAGAAGCCCACTCGAAGCGTTGATTCCAAGCCATACTGTAGCAAAGCGGAGGCAGCGCAACCTAGTGGTGACTATTAAGAGCAACCGAGGTGGGACGGGAACCAACACCCCCAGATGTTTAAGAGCTCAAAATACGCAGCCCTAACATTTTAACCTCCAGACTGGCAATGAGTGCAAACTGTTGGTTCGCGACTAAAACGATCTCTTCCCACAACTCAGGAATTCAGTACAGGGAGACTAAGGGTTGTTTCAATCCGATTCTTGTGCGACACGTTTTGGTGGTGTGGAAAGTGTTGGTTCGTGACCCCAGGCTTAAACAACGAACAAAACCAACTCCAAGAGCTCCGGCAGGGTCTTTTTCTCCGCATCGGTGGCGCCCACGATGGTTTGCAGGGTAGGCCTAGGTGGCCGGTAGGTGTTTCGCACAAAAAAAAACAGGCGTTGTACTTGCAACCGGCTGGGGCTGTGACTTAGAACCATGCAACTATGAGAGCACGTACGTTTGTGTGTGCATATGCACGCACGTGCACGCAGATGTCTATATAAAGCGTATATGTGTGTGTGTAAATATGAAATCGTATATGTGAGAGTTGTCCAATGTTCCTTGCTCCAAAAGTTGCTTCTGCCCGCCCTTCCCCGAATCTTCCGCGAACTTCCGCAATGCAGGTAAAAACACTTTTTCTGGTACGTGTCTGAAAATAAGTAAGTTTCCGTAAAGAAAAAATATGCCAGAACGCTTTTCGCGGCTCGAAACACGCAAAAAAAAAAAAAAAAAAAAAAAAAACAAGTTGTGCGTTGCATTTGTTGCCGCGCCTGTCTACAAACTCTGCTGTGGGAATCATGCAAGAGGACCGCCGAATATGATGCCAGAACGCTTTTCACAACCGGAAACGCGCGGAAAAAAAGAATCTCGGACCGCGATTTTTTCGCGCTTTTCGACAAACTCTTCCGCGGGAATCAACAGGACTGCCGAATATGATGCCAGAACGCTTGCGCGCGCGCTTTTCTACAAACTCTGCCGCGAGAATCACGGGGCTGCCGAACATGATGCCAGAACGCTTTCCGAGGTCCCAAACGCGCGAGAAAACGAATTTCGGACCACCAAGTTGTGTTTTATTTCGCGAAAAGGACCGCCGAAAATGATGCCAGAACGCTTTGCGAGGTCCGAAACACCGACACAAACGAATTCGCGGTCCGAAATTATTTTTCCCGCGCGTTTCGACAAACTCTGCTACGGGAATCAGAAGGACCGCCGGATATGATGCCAGAGCTCTTTTCGCGGTCCGAAACGCACGAGAAAAAAACAACAACTGTCTATAACTCGGACTCGCCGTCACTGTTGTGAAACTGCATCAGCCCGCGCAATCACGTACCCACCTTTGTGTATGGGGCATGAAAGGTGTCGAGGTATCTGTTTGGGCCACTTGCCCAAGAGGGCATATAGTTCCGACCCCCGAGCTCAAGGGGCTCAATAAGTCTCGAGACAAGCCAATGTCAAAACCTTAGTGGTGGTTGGAGGGGTCTTGCGGTCTCGCTCCCAATGGCTTGTGGAGCGCCTGTGAAGTCCTCCAATTTTATTGCAAGGGTTCGCTTTTGCATGAGAATGCCCACTTCATCATAAATCAATTTAGCCCAGTCAAGGCAACTCCCGCAACTACCCACCATGGAGTCATGACAGGCATTTTGCCTTATTGCATTTCTTGCTTTTTTGTGACGACGGCAGCGAGGTCGGTGAGTGCGAGTACCAGCAACTGGTGCTCAGGGAGCGCATTTGAAATTTTCTTGCTGGCGGTGGCAGCCGTGACAACAAGTGCATGAGCACCAGCAATGTGCAGTGCGCAAAGCAGATGGTTCGGATGCTTACTTTGCATTCTCTTTTTGGCACAGCCCCATGGTTTCAGGCCTTGGGTCTGGCTACGGCGTATTGGCAATATACGATTTGATTTGCAGTTTCGCATTTGTGTGGTTTCCGCTACTGGTTGCAGCACTCTTGATTTTCTGGATCCGCAAAAGAGATTGTGAATAACAGCCAGCAGGTGAGAGATTT